GTCCGCGCTGCTGCATCGAACTTTATGTACAGTCACCCAGATGACTTCCTACCTTTCCTGCCATCCGCATTTGGCGAAGATGGTGTTGGAGCAACAAGCGCAGGCCTCATGACACCACAGCAATTTGAGCAGTACTGCATGTCGATCAAAGACACCGGTACTTGGGGTGGAGAACCAGAGATTCTGGCACTCAGTCGAGTATATAATGTTCCCATACATGTCGTGCAGGGCGGTGTCCCCCGGATCGTTGAACACAACCCGGGTCCGTCACCTCGGTCGTTTTCTAAGGTAGTTCGTATCAGCTTCCATAGAAGAATGTATGGGCTAGGGGAGGTATGCTTCCATACTTCATCAGAGATGTGACATACTGATCATCCTTTCCTCAGCACTATAACTCTTTACGGCCCAAGACTACCATTTTACAAGTGGCTGGCAGGATTCAGTCCGCGTTCTCTTGATTCACATACGCGATACTCCATTCATGTTTCGAAGGGGTACTGAGTACTCGATCGATCCTTATCCATGTGTCAATACAGATTCATAAACGATTAAACAAAATCCAAAGCTGTTAGAGTAGTAAGTCGTCCAGATCACCACCACGACTCCCGCCTGCCACAGGTTGTGGCACATCCGTCACATAACCACCAAATGCACCACCCAAAGAAGCATATGGATCTGCGGCTTTGGTGACTGGGCCATCATCATCACCTTCTGGGTACCCCTCTCCGCTGTCGCCACCCGCGCCATCATCACCTTCAACATCTAGTAAATCTCGTTCATCACTCCGTGAAGATTCCATAATAGTCGGTAGAGGTACACTGTTTGTTGCTTCACTAGGTTGTGATGGTCGCGTAGGTTCGACAGGACCAGGACCTGACACGCTAATGGCCATCGGTGGAAGTTGTGGTCGTGCTAGGGAAACTAGCACTGCCCTAGAGTTTGCGTTCAACGCAGGGCTGTCAATCAGTGCTCTACCCGCAGCGTTTCGAATGAATGTCTGTGATCGCACACATGAGTCGGAAGTGATGAATAAAAATGTCAGACGCTGTCACCTCTGGATTCTTGTGATATATGCTTCCCAGTGTGCCGGTATGCAGTAAGAGTTGGTCAAGAGCCCCACGATCCATGCGATCTGAATCAGTAGTGATCGCAGGCTTTTCTGCAAGCACAATCTCTGCAGCCACTGCCGGATTCATCGCGAGCATACGCCAATACATGAAACCACGATCTCGCAAGTCAGGGTTATCAATATCTTCCGTTGCCCATTTTAATACTTTGTGAACAAGCGCCTTCGTAACCTCAGATTGCGACTTGTAAATGAAAAGCTTTACAACGGCTGTGAGATGTGCGAGTTGGACCTGGCAGAGGTATCTCAGGAAGTTTGGGAGTGAAACAGGAAGCCAGACGCACCTCAGCCGGTTCATCCAGGAAGCTGTACACGAGGTCATCCAAGAGTTCTTCGGCGTTGTCTATTTTGTCTGCGAATTGCCCCAATATCCATACCATGGCAGCTTTTGCCTCGGGTTCATCTAGTGCGTCAAGGTTCTCACAAATTTTTGGAATGATGCCCTCGTATTTCCCAGGGTACCTTCGGAAAATATCCTTGGTGACGATTACTGCCTCTTGGACGACATAAGTCACTTTTGTCTCGATGAGCTTGAGTAATGATTCTATGCACTTGTCTGCAGCAGGTTCTACTTTGATGGCGAGACGACCTATCGACCGGACGGCCTTCCGGACGAAATCAACGTCCACCTCTGAAGCATATCTGACGCAGCTGCTTAGTGCACGTTGACGCAAGGTAACATGTTAACACACTCTTCCAGCTCAGCTAGAACTTCTCGGGCATTTTCTTCCCGAGCGAGGCGGTACATTATCTCAAGCTTGGCAAGCTTGACATATATTGGATCGTTGTATTTGCAGAAGAAGGCCTTGACATCGTTCTTGAGAACGGTAGGTCGGCGCTGAATGATCAACAAGATATTTCGAAGGGCAACGTATTGGACCTCAGGACCAGAAGAAAGCAATGTAACTTCAAGTGCTCTGTCAATTCCTGCAGTCCAGGAAACTCAGAATCGCACTCACCAAGTGGAGGGCCCATCTTTCTGCAGATATAGTCTATCAATCGGCGATCACCCATGTAATTCATCAAATACAGCAGAACTTTGATGGTCGTCAGCACCACGGCAGAATTGGCATGCTGCAATTGAACTATTACACGTTCAGCCATCATTTCGGCGTCTGCGTGCTGTTCTGGAACATAACGCAACAAAGAATCAAGGATATAGATTTGACCCCATCTTGAAAGTAAATCATCAGTCTCGGTAGAGTAGTAGTGGCTAGACACGCACTCAGAGCTCTCGCCTAATGCGCTGAGGAGTTTGTTTGCAATGGTCAAGTTGAGCTTGAATATGACGCCGTCTTGACGATCTCCAATTTCCGACAATGCCGCCACAGCATTTGAAACCACAGTTGCATTCTCATCAATTAACATGTCTCTTAAAAGTTCGACGAAGCCTTTACGTTCGGCTTTGCGAGGGTCAGCAGTATAGACCTTCGCTACACATATCGCAGCAGTCTTGCGAACATATGGGTCACGATCTTTGAGACAATGTCGTAGTTGATCAGTGAGTGCTTCTGTGACCACAGGTATGGGAATATAGGACATTGTTCGGATTGCGAGTGCTCGTATGAGAGGGTTACGATCGTTACAGTCCTATAGCACATTAGAACAACGAGACCAACGCGATAGATGTGAACTCAATACCTGTAGGAAACTAGGAATTACTAGGTGTATCTGATCTGGTTTCGAGCGCCCATAGCTGACAAGGAAAAGGTATACCACTGTAGTGGCATCAGTATGATATTAACCATACGGATACGTCCACTCACTCTTCTTAATCTCTAACAACGGGGTTCCTATGCATTGAATTACATCGTGAAATAGAGGTGACACTGGGGTACATGCCGCATTTATATGAGCGAGTGATACCGTGATTCTTGATTACTCACTGTCATTGCCCATCGTGATGTTTGCCACAATCTTCTTCAGAACGGTCTTTCGTTTCTGGAACTTTTTATCCTTTGCCTCCGCTGCTTGCAGCTCAGCGCGAAACTCCTACATGATTAAGTTCGTCACTGAGTTCCAGTCGGCGACCCGTCTGAGAGTGCCGTACCTCGATCTTCCCGCGCTGGAAGAATTTGGCATCTTGACCCTGCTGCGTGGACATCGCAAATTGGTCCTCTGAGCAGCTGTTGTAATTTGGTTGTAATTGCTACTCAATGGATTAAAGAATAAAGAACCCGAAGTGGTAGTTATTTACTACCAAGTTGGTCAACGCTACGTATAGTACGTAATACTGTCACTCACATTTTGCCTCCGGCGACTGCAGATGGACCTGACTTCAGAAAATTCTGCCAAGCTATCCTAGGCTCGAAATGAATACACGACGCGCGCGCAGTTGTGCTCCAACAACCACCTCTTTCTCAGAAAGGGCCTCCCTCGAGAATTCATCGCATTCTACTGTTGACGGCATTCTCAAAGATCTGAAAGCATGTTCACGTCGGTTGCAACCCGCTCTCGCCAGCTACCAAGATGAAATGAAGGTGCTTGAAAGGCTTTACTATAGAAGTAAAAATCAGCATCGAGCGGCCTTGTTCTTCAAACGTATCTCGGAGATCAGACGTTATGGTTGGCGGCTGCTAGAAGTAAATATGGTCGAGGATGTGCATCTTCTTAGAGCATCGTTCTATGGTGCGACTGTTGTTCAGAGGTGTGATATTTTATTCAGCTTGCGAATGAGATAAAGTGATCGAGCACTTGCAGCGAAAAATTGATGAGAGGGTCTTGGAATCACGTCCCAAGTCGGTCGTATGTATCTTTCATGACTGAAAGGTTTAAGGCCTATTCTTGCTTGATACTTAAAGTGAGTGAGCAGGTGCTACTGTACGTAGCCCTAATGATGGTTATTCACAGACGTCTGAGCGACTTCAAGAAGCTTATTAGTAAGTCCCTGGCAATCTGTGAATATCTAATTTTTCAATGCTTGGTAAAGCCATTTTTCCCTTGCAATGCAGTCTGGTGCATTCATTCACCTAATCATACTATTTGCCGGACTTGCTTCAAGGATGGCAACTTTGTCGGTTGAAATGGGTGATTGTGTCCGAGACTGCGAGACTGCTTGTGATCGCGTACTGAGTGTTATCGATGTAAATCGGTCTATTTCTACCAATTGCTATTTGATTCTCACTGTGATTTCCTAGCCGACCCACAAGCCGAGTTTCGTAGCTGAATCAAGCACTTCCAAGACATCGGAATATCTCTTGTCCCGTCAGAATGACCAGCAAGCTCATACCGTTAATCCAGATGTTCCCCCGGAAAATTTTGGTTCCGCTGTTTCTAGAGAGGAGACACTTGACCGACTATCATCCACACCAGTCGATGCTAGGTCCGTTATGGAAAAAGCTGGGAGCATAAACTTGCAAGCTGCAGTCGGTATGTTACCATCTCCCTCACAACGTGTCTGCAACATTGCATCTAATCAGTCGGGACTGTTAGTTGTAGAAAAAGTCGCCATTGCCACATCATCCTCTCGAAAAGACAAGATTGCGATAAAACGAAAGACATTATCTACTCCTGCCGACCAAGGACGATCGAAGAAGGTCAGGGAGAAACGAGACGAGATCGACGATATATTCGGCTTTTAGCTAGACTTCGATTTCTCATGGTATTCAAACGATATTGTTCGATTCCATTTGGATTCTAGCTTCTCTACAACTACTTCACTTCTGTGTCTCTACGCAAGCTAATGCAAAGATAGCAGATTTAAGTATGATTCGAAACAAAACGCAGCGCCTGGCTGGTGGAAAAAGCTCATAGTGAACAGCATCACTCTAGTTCGCGCGGAGCGCAACGTAAGAGGACGAACAATCTGCCACATAAGAACAAGTAAAAGAAAATAGAAAGATGGCTAACTTCAAGTCCAATCACTATGAGACGTTCATAGGGCGAACGCAAGGGAGGCGACAACAACAACGCTGACGAGAATGCTTGATGAACCGAGGCTCTTAGCACCACCTGTCGAGGCTGCTGAGGGGCTGCTGCTGCCAGTAGCCCCTGCAGTTGGTGATCCGGAAGTGGGGGATCCAGGAGATGTAGAGGAATTGGCGGCGGCAGCGGTAATGTCATTTGGAACTATGAGCGGTGTAGTTCCCGCGCTAGACAGGTCGACAACGCCGCCTTCTGACAAAACTTCGGGGTTGGCGGCCAAAAAGGTTCGCGTATACCTTGTGGAAGATGCGTAAGGGTCATGCGAGGCGGCACGAGAGAAAAATCAGAAACTTACATCACATTTTCGAGCGCGTATTGGTATGACGATGGAGGCATGCCACTCATGTCGATGTTTCCACCCCAATTGCCAGCCATGGTATTGTTCGCCGTCGCCATCTGGGTGTATTGAACCATCGCAGTCATGTTCGAGCTCTGGTAGCGAATGGGATTAGGGAATCAAATAATAATAATAGTCAATACTCACGTTTGAAGCCATGACAGGCATCACACTGGAGATTGATGAGGTGCTACCCATTAGAGCATTGGGAGGGTTTCTGAGACCACGAGTCAGATAACAAGTCACGTCAAATAAGAAAGAACCATACAAGATACCGAACATTCCTTTCTGACAGTGTCCGGGAACCCCACAGTAGAAGAATGTTGTATTGGTGTCGTTGACCGTTTGGGTGACTAAGACGCTGGTCAGTTTTTCCATCAAATTTCTGGCTCCAGACACGTACAAACGAAGCTCTTATTCTGCACCCCAGAAGAAAATGGCATGTCCGAAGTTTTATTACAAATCTAAAAAGCATCTAAGATATTCATTCAAAATCGATATTCATGAAGAGACTTACCGCCAGTTCGGATGATTTCGTAACAGTGTGTGTGTTGGCATTCCAGACAAATGCGATCGTGTCACCAACAGATGCATTGACGGCAAAAGGCACATAACGCAAAACGCCCTGGGTAGGAGCAACAATAACGGTGTGCGTGCAACCAGGACTACCCGCTGCGGTAGTCGTGGTGGGGGGAGCGGACCATGTAGAGGATGCCATCGTAGGAGCGCCGTAAGATGCAGCACACACTAAATAGAGGTATTAGCATGTTGTCGCTGGCAAAAGTTCGCGCAAACTTACTCTGCATGCAACTTTGATAACCTGAACCACCGCTGCCACCTCCATAACTGCCTGAGCCGTATGCGGGTGTGGAGTAGGTGTTCATGGCAGTCGACGTGGCGTCGGGAGTCGAAGTCGTCGCTGAGCTGCACGTGGTACTGGACTCGCTCATGCTGGCCGTACTGCTGTAGCCACTATCGGTATAACTTGTGGACATTGTCACGGACGTTTGCATGCCACCCATACCACCATAACCTTCCATGGTAGACGTTGCGGCCATCGTCGTGCTCGTGTTCATGTAACCCTGATTGCCCCAGCCATCACCACCGCCGTAATTCCCGTTTTGCTGTGACACACCACCTTGCGAGCCTCCCGATGAATCGCCATACGAGCTTCCTGATGAATATGAGCCTCCCGACGAATCACCATACGAACCTCCTTCGGAGCGAGGGGTGACCATGGCGCCCATGGCGGGTATGGCCATTGAGGCAGGACTGTCATTTGAGTGAGAAAAATCTCAAGCAGAGGGGAAAAACACATACGCAGGTGATTCATGCCGAGGGAGGTTATCAAGTTGAGGAGCAGCCATCACCAGGGTGGTGCATATCGCTGCGGCGCTCAGGAAAGGTGCAATAAAAACCATTTTCGAATCAGAAAAAATACTTGTTCAAAGACTACTGGCGACCTGAGCGCACGCAGTGCTCCTTCTAGGAGTAGTGAAGTCCTGCTCTATCAAAGAGTGATCTGCACCATAAGTAAGGGTTAGCTCAAGCTACGAAAAAAGTCACGGACGAACCTCGAAGTGTGCGAGCCGAAAGTCAACTCGACTAAGACAACAGAAAGGAGAAAGAGGGTCGATGAAGAGGTCGAAAAGGTAAAGAGAGGACCTGACACTCAGGGGCCAAGGTTTAAGTAGGACTGTCGTGCCCTTGTGTCAGGACTCACCATAGCAACTCGAAGTCGGAGTGGGCAATTTTCGATCGAAGATCGTCCGTTGTCAACGGGGTGGAACTGGTTATTTCCGCCCTGCAACTGGAGTCACTTGGCGGATCTGACGTGCAAACATAGACGATGAGTTTTCTGGCCGATCCACAGCACAGTTTGTATGCACCATAAGCTGCTTTCTTGAACGTCTAGCTGGTGAAACTTATTCTGATGTCCTGAGTGCAATGAAAGTAATTAAACATTGTTCAGCAGATCTTGTTTCCGTCACCTGAAAACGAGTTGTCTTGGTGTCAGCTGGTCTCTCTGGAAACCGCACGCTGCGGCACGAGCAACAAAACGGTGTGGGTCATGACTTATGGAGTTTTCATCGCGGTCTCATGATTTTGTCAAACCTGTGAATTTCCAATGACAAGAACAGCGCACTAGTGCTGTCGTTCGTCAGTTTTATAGGTATTTGATTTGGAACGAACTTACCAATAACAAAATCGATAAGATAAGATCTAGGTGTTCCAATAAATTCGTGTATTCGACAAAATGTAAGCAATCATCGAGTCAACTGAGTAGGTTCGCTACAACACCCGTGCATACATGTATGACACCGAAGGTACACGAAGTATAGAAAAATGTTTATCCATACGTGTTTGGCTTCCAGATTGAGAACGACTGGCATGCCAACTGAATCAGAATGCGCCTGGTTGAGACGGCTGCGCCGACAGTAGAGGTCGTCTGGTAGGAGAAGGCAATGCGCCCCGGTGATTGTCATTATGATATGCATCCACGTTGGTATGAAATCGTGATAGAGAGTAGGACAAGCTCTCTGATTTGGAGGAACCGTGCCGCACTCCCAAATCAGCTCGCTTTGCATCTCTGAATGCTTTCAGGCGATCCGCAGCCTTTGATGAGCCTGTCTTTTCTGGGGAAGTAAGGACGTGGGATGTGGTGTGTGAATGGGTTGTTGGTATTGCACGAAGAGCTGCGTTATCGTAGACATAACGGGGCGTCACAGGGCGCATAGGTTGAGCATCAGATGATGCGCCTCTTTGCGACTGTGTGAACCGAGAACCGAGAGATGGCTTCCGTTCGCGCTCGTCAAAGAGCCAGTCTGGAAGATCTGAAGGATGACGGGCCTTTGCAAGGTGATAGGCTTTCATTACGCGGATCAAATGCGAGTCACGCCCAGGTGCCGTTTCTACAATAGAGAAATTAGGAAGACAGGGAAAAGTAATGATTGATGTGCACCCACCTTCCTCTGAAGCGCCAATTCTTGAATACCATGCTTTATTGACATTAACTGTCAAGACACTTGCAGCCGCAGCAACGCGATTCCATATGCTATCACCATTTTCCAATATTGAAAAATATCTATCATGCTCGGGGTCTGAGATCGCAATATAAACAAAACGATAAGATATAAAACTATATATTACAAACCTTCACGTTGGTCCGTATCGGTCTTGAGTGATTTATCAGGTCCAGTAGATTTTGTTGGCGGTTCAAGATAATCTTCTAAGCTAGTGGACGAAGACAACTGACTGTTCATTCTGTCCCGGAATGAGAAGGATGAAGCAGATGATTCGGAACCAGCCGAGGTGCTCGACTCGCGGCCGCCTGCACGCATGTTGGAGCGAGAACCAAGAGCGGCTCCTACAGCACGACGAGTGGATACCTGGGCGGGAGCCGATACTGAGGGTCCATGAGAGCGCAACGAGCGAGTAGCATTGGACACAATGGGCTGGCTCTGGTTTCGCGAGTGACCTTCCACAAAAGGCGCATCTCTCCTGAGACGAGTGCATGCGGGGGAACTTGGCAAGCCGAGCTTTCCAGCCTGTAGAGAAGGACGATTCGATTGCATGGACGACCAGCGTGCGAGTCACCTAGCTTGCGATGTACGGAAGGAGAAAATAAAAAGATTAAAAGAATATTAATGTACAGTGTCCAGTCCAGCTGGATGAGAGGCAAATAAGAATAAGGAGTGTCGTTGTGTTGAGTGCGAAGACAAGAAGCACTTACATAATGTTAAATATTAGTAAGCATGTCTGGCATCAAATTTGAATTTGAATTTGGTGTTTATACTCTCCGAGTCTTTCAAAATCAATTCCTTCATTAATATTGAAACACCCCGAGCTATTGTCGCCAACGATTACGGCCCTAATCTATGTAGGTACTCGGGGAGGAAAACTCGAGCAACCTTGGGCAACCTTTTCAGAATTCAGGCATATCAATTATGTAATTGTTTTTTTCGCCGTACACCAGGCACCAACGGCAGGCGCAAGATCTATATTAAAATTCTTTATCAGTTCAGAGTATTCATCTCTTGCGCCTTGTTGTTTCACTATCATCACGTCAAACATGTTGCCAGCGTGTCGGCGTGTAATAGGCCCGCGTGCTCGACAAACTGTCGCTCTAGCTAGGTATGCCAGTACGAGCACCAAGGAAAAATTCCGAGTGCTTGTTGTCGGAGCAGGTGCATCAGTCGTTGGAGTCCTTTGAATTAACATTGATGCATTTTCAGGTTCTGGTGGGTTGACGGTTGCCAACCAGATATATAACCGCTTCAAGGCTGCTGGAAAGCCTTTGAATGCAGGGGATGTAGTGGTCCTTGACGCAGCAGACTATCACTACTATCAAGTAAGCACTCAGAATCAGACTGTAACCTACTCGTGTGAGCTACTTTTTGATGGCTCTTCCTTTCAAGCCCGGCTGGTGACAGTTTTTATCCCTCGTTCCTGTATACGAATCCTGACGTATCCTCCAGGACTTTGGCCGGTGCTGGTCTTGGCTCTAAAACAGATTTCAGACGACCGCTCGCGTCCCTGTTCCCGCCGCATATCACGCATATTGCAGAGAATGTCAAGTCATTCTATCCGGAATCCTCATCAGTCACGACAACGTCTGGTCGGACAATTTCATACGATTCACTTGTAGTGGCAGCAGGTTTGAAAACAAACTGGGACGGCATCGCTGGGTTGCCTCAGGCCCTCGCTGATCCTTCGTCTGGAGTCTCATCGATATATTCCTATGATACCTGTGACAAAGTTTGGCACGACGTAGATGCTCTCAGGTCCGGAAATGCCATATTTACCCAACCTGCAGGTATCATTAAATGTGCAGGAGGTAAGTCAAATTTCTCTATGTATGGCGGCTGCTTATCGTCTTCTAGCTCCGCAAAAAATCATGTGGATGGCCTGGGACAGATACCAAAAGTCTGGCCGAGGAAATAACATTAAGATAGACTTCATGACTGGCATGCCATCCATGTTTAGCGTCAAGAAGTATTCGGATGCCCTAAACGCCTTGCGCATCGAGCGGGGTATCGAAGCAGCATTCCAACATAACTTAGTTTCTATTGATGTGGCGAACAGGAAAGCAACTTTCAAGAAGGATGACGGTTCGACCGTGGATCGCGATTTCACCCTAATGCATGTCACGCCGCCGATGGGACCGCTAGACTTCATCAAAGGATCGCCCATTGCTGATCCAGCGGGTTGGGTAGAAGTCGATCAGGCAACTCTCAGACATGTCAAGCCCGAGTTTGGAAACATATTTGCCTTGGGTGACTGTTCTTCCCTACCCACGAGCAAAACGGTTGCCGCCATTACATCTCAGGCTCCTGTCTTGACGGAAAACTTATTTTCGGTTATGGACACTGGCAAAGTGAGCAGTGCAACATATGATGGCTATACAAGTTGTCCGGTCCGTCCGCCTCCTTACAACATTATCCACTTGACCAAATTCTAACATTAGCTTCTGACGGGATATGGGGAATTGATGCTAGCGGAGTTCAAGTATGGACTTGTACCCAAAGAGAGTTTTGCCAATTACCTGGGCGATCAGACGAAACGGAGAAGGTTTGTCCTTTGTGATTCCTACTTGTATCATTGCATTGAACCTGCCAAATCCCTCAGATTATTCTACCACTTCAAAAAGGTACGGAGTACAATTGGAGCTGTAGCTCCTAAAATAAGGCACGCGGCTTATTGTTTGTGCTATTCTTAGGACCTTTTTCCTTGGGTTTACTGGAGTCGCATGGTGAGTCTCCGGAAACAGTTTGCATGGGGCTCTCGGAATGTCTTATGTTGCGCCGTAGGTTGATGGAAAATGGTTCGGCCCTTCAGGACCCTTCCGTCCCGAGTTTGTATGATGTTGACATTAAGGAATTATTGGAAATGATTATTATAACCCCAGTTTCATGAGTGAATTGAGTAGACGTGGGTCACCCCTTTGTAGTCACTGGCTATAACTTCTGCGAAAATTTCAGTGGTGTCATGAGCATTGCCTGGAGGTACTGGTTATCTTCCCACTCCAGTTCCTTGCTCAACATCAGTGTGTTGAACCTCCAGTAACCCTTCAGCAGCTGCTTTGAATACCAGTGAGCCACATTCAGTTTTTCATTGCAGATAAGTGACTCATCTGCCCAGATGTATAGGGTAAGCTCTCAATTGTATATTTTGTAGATACCATCTTCATAGCATCAGGAAAACATCAAATCCCTTATTTCATCCTTAACATTACTTTTTTGACTTATTGTGTAAAATAAGGAAAATTAAGGAAAACTTTTGTCGAGTGTTTTACACCATGTTACTGTCACATGACGTTCGGATTCCGCTGGATTTCCCTTTCGTTGTTTGTTACTGTCACAATGTGCAGCTGCTTGGAGATGTCACATGGGGGCGACAAGGCAAACAAATCGAATTGCGGACGACTCTCATGTCCTCAAACTAGTAGTGCGAAGTTCAAATGTACGAAGACTGTTACTGTATACATTTGACCTTAGGTTCGTGGAGGTTGTGGTGTGACATGACATAATGGTAGGTTCGCATGTTCGTTCACCACTGTGACCTGTGATGAACTTAGAATAGGTTCGCCAAGGTGGTCAGACCACCCTTGGAGGACTCGGAATCTCAGAATTTGATTGAATCTATGCTACTCAATTGATTATCAGCCAACAACATGCACTATTTAAAATTTGTTATATCTTGCAAATAAATATGAGAGAACCAGATGTCACAATTTTAGGTTCGTCCTTGCCAGATGCTTGTGACTGTCACACGAAATAGGTTCAGTTTGGGGTGTTGGCGACGCTGTGATGAACCTAAGGTCGAATGTATACAGTATTACAGAGTGAAAACGGTGAAAAAAATACAAGCATTCATTGGATGGGAAGAAAAAATACAGATCCAGTTCAAGTGTGGGAAAGTCGAAAGTCGTGCCAGTGACCAGCAAGAGTGTGATGTGTTGATGGGGGTACATAGGCTTGATGGTAAGCATGCATGAAAACTTGATGCATTGCGAGAGTGATGAAATTTTGATTGGGAGAGGAGTAGAACATGATTATGCAAGGGTGCAATGGAAAATGGATCACATAGACACATCCAACCAGGGATGCACGCAGTGAGATGCAAGTGCAGTCGAGTGTGGCCTACAGCTGAAAGGAGTTTCATTGACAAAGACAGACAAAACAATAAGAGAAAAAGAAAGGGTATCAACTGAGGGTGCTTGAGCTTGGAGTGGTTGCTGATGCGACACGGTCTTTTGGGTGGCTGTTCTTGCTCTTCTGACCGATTAGCTCACTGTGCTCCTCGCATTTGTGCTGGATCGTGTTGAAAAGTGGCTTTGCACCATGGCTTGCCTTAGGGTAGGCTACCAGGAATGCCAATTCATCGCTCCCCATCCTGTCCAGCAGCACTCCCTGTCAGCAAGATGTCTACTAGTAGAGCTAAACTTAAACTCACTGGTTGAACTCAAGTGCAATCACTTTGCGCATGTTGCGCTTCACACTGGTAATGGTACACATTGCGCCAGAGTACCAGTCCTCTGGCCAGTCCTTCAATGCCTTGCTGCCAATGGAGGCAGCTGGATCTTCCCACTGCTTGACAGCTATGTGCCATGCATCTGGGCCACATGGTAGGTGAGGAATGCCGATGCCTGGAATGGGTGCAGCTTTGCCTGCACAACCATGAGTATTGTGAGCATGGGCTGGTGGGATGGCAGGCAACAAAGATGCCAGAGGAGGTTTTGCAACTTTGACTTGATTTGACTAGGAGCTTGGAGTAGCAGACAAGGGAGGGATGCTCAGGCTGTTGGCAGGAGAGGGTGTCCGAGACGAGGGAACTTCCAGAGAGGGTGATGGAGACAGGGAGGAGCAGCAGGATGGCGATACTGAGGCAAGTATGAGCTTGTCCAACACAGCCTCAACTTTGCCGGATAGGGAATCTAGCTGACGGTCAAAGGACATCTTCAGCTCCCAGGCTTCAGTGGCAGTGACAGGTGCAGTAAATATGTGGTCCCCATTGAAGCTTCTTTCAGCCTTGCATGGAATTGGGCACAAGGCATCATGATGGTTCTTCTCATAGCGGGTGAGCTCATCCAAGAGGTAGCGAATCAGGGTGTCAACCTATGATACTGGTGAGGCCAGGCAAAATATGCCGAATACAATGTACTCACACACTCTCCTTCTGCCCATGCCCCCCACCACCTTATTGTTGCCAGTGACCAGTGCTGACCGAGCGGTGCAAACATAAAGCGGTACCTTGCACCACCTCGACAGGAGCAGTGACTCGTGTACCTAGATACCAGCACTGCCTCTGTGCAGATCCATGTGAGCATCTTCATCATGGCATCATATGACAGCTCATCAGTTGGGTAGATGACACCATTGGTGCCTACACAAGGGAATACAAATTCGTCAGATTGCAATGGGCATCGGAGCAGGACCTCTTCCAGGAATTTGACCCAGGCACGTAAATGGGTGAACATACAGATCTCTGGGGTATGTGGCTGGGAATAGACTTTGTATTTGTGACCTAGTAGTACACTATGTTAGCACAGTGTATCTGAGATGCAGGTAGGCAATGTGCCTGGAGATACCTTCGAGTACACCATCAGTCTCCCCTTTTTGCTGCCAGCCCTTGCGATTTGTCCAGATAGTAAATCCAGTCATCGAGAAAGCTTGGACCATCAGGTGGCGCTAAGCCAGAACCATGTCTGCTATGTCAAGCACCCCCCCTGTCCGAAGGCACTGATAAATCCAGCTCACAAGCTTGTCAGTACATTGGTCATAGGACAAGGACATGAGCTTTTGCATGTCCTCGATTGTCATTGCTGATGCATGGTTTCTTGTACTGCCTTCAGCACCCTCATTATTCTTGAGGATCTCCATCATATCTTGCACTGCGGCTGATAAGGCAGGGTTCCCTGTCACAACTCCAGTCACCTCATTGCAGTGATATGGCCCACAGAATATCTCGCCCTTGCTGTATGTGGCACATTGCACATCAAGATGTTAGTGACTGAGAGTCAATCAAGGTACTGCACACAAGAAACACTCATACATTCCACCACAGATCCTTGAATGCTGAGAACATGCCCCACATTGTGCTTATCGCCCTCCCCTCTGTCAGACCCTTCTGAATGAGGAACAATTTCAGTGCAGGTGCGGAGTATTGGTTCGGGATGGGATCAAACATGTGGCTGTAAGTCTCAATGTCCTTTTCCGAGTCACATTCTGGGGCCAGTGACTAAGTGCTTGTGCTATCTGTGTGAGCCTTGCGCTTCTGCTCAACCACATCTCTCAGGAACCGATGGCCATGATCCAGATGGCCACTGTATTGAGACCGTGTTCCTTTTGCCTTCAGCAGGGACTATTGTGCTTCCTCCTGCTGCATTTCTAGAGTGGAGGTTGATGGAGTAGCGACCTTCCTCCCTGGATTCTTGACAGATGCTGTGATCTTTTTTGTCGTTCCACGACCCATCTGTTAGCATTCCATAAAACCTGTAGCCTAGGATTGTTGTATGAGCAGGGTGTCACACTCTAGATATGAATTATAGGAGTCAGTACATATAGCTTCAAACACTTAAAGGGGCTACTGGCTGCATCTTCGCCTTTTTCCACAGCATCAAACAACAGTGCCGGTTTGCACTCATCATAGCGTAGCATATGGACTACACACTGACACACACCTCTACAGCCACAATACTCCAGCTCATGTTCTTCGAAGACAGTGTGAGAGGACAACAGCCCAGCAGCCATTCTACTACAACAGCTTCAGGCACATCCACCACTCATAGCGACATACATGAGGGTGACATCGCGCACTTTGCCCAGGTTGGCTTCGACGCCTTAGTCCAATCGCTCACGGTCCAGCAAGGGTTTCAGTCAAATGTGATCAGGACCGTTTACAAGTACCTCTCAAGCTATGAGAAAACGGTTGAGGTCATTGAGGTGATGAGGGAGGCAGCCGAGGTACACACCGTTGCTGAGATCTTGAGTAGGACAGAGGAGGACGATGTTGAGGACAACAGCATTATGGATGATAGTGTCAAGGAAGACAGCGTCAAATCAGAGGAGGAGGAATAGGTGTATTGCCAAGGGGCCATAACTTAAGAGAGTCCCTATTTATGTGGTACCTCATCCTCTCGTTGGTCTCTGCAATATTATACACCTTCTTGAGAATGTTAGGCTCAAAATACCCCAGTTCTTTGGGACACAGGCAGTGTTGAAAGGCTTGTAGTACATATCCAAATCTTGAGCGATGAAGTAGGCTTGGATGGTCTTGATGATCTCAATAGAGATGAACAGGGAGATTGGGATGATGTTCTGAAAGGCGATAAGACATGACCTGAAAGAGTGTTAGTGAGCATTCAGATGATGTTACAGGGACATACACAAACATAACGAGTCCATCGAGTCCATTGGAACTAGTGGGTTCAATGCCTTGCTCATATATATATGTGCTTGTGGCTGTTAGCCCATCCAGGATGCCATTGATGGTCACCAACACCAAACAGATGATGACCAAGAACAGGAAGTTCACTATGATATTAAAGTTTGTCTCCTTCATGATTTTCGATTGCTTTGATGGTGTCTGTCCACCGTTCAAGTATATCTTGGTGTCCAGGCCAGTGAAGATGAGTGACATCAGGAGCCTCTATTCGACCCTCGCAAACCTCCATTGCATCCTCACGAGCCTCCCGTCACGGCATGTACTAATCCATTGATATACCGGTGAAATTGTTCAAATAAGTTCTTTGGCAGAAAGGTCAAGAGTGGAACAAGTGGACTCCGATGAGCTGCTGGTATGCAGGGATGACTCATTATCGTTAGTGGTCAAAGCACTTGGAAGGCTTGCCACAGAGGAAGACGTGTTTGATGCAACTGATGATGGGAATGAGCGATAAGGAGTCCATAAAGTGACATTAAAGTCGTCATCATTGTCATCTCTATACACATCCTCATTCTCATCCAGGTTGCCTGCACTGCTGGATGATTGGGACCCATCTATACTAGGGTAAACTTGTAAGCTGTGAGAACCAGGACTCACGGGCTCATGTGTTTGCTGGAGTGATACATCAAAAACCTGGTTATGGTCCATCAATGTATTCTCCAGAATGGGCAAAATACAGTGGTCTGGGTAGAAGGTGAGTGGATACATTAGCTATCTCTGACCATCCAATAGATGAACAGCTTCACCTGTGTTCCTCTTCATACGCAGGTGGTGGGGGACACCAAATCTCATATGCAGCTGTTCTAGTATTGCTTGTTGTGGGACGCGCATGAATGATTGAGGATGACTTGGAATGTTGCATGTGGAGCAACATGCTCTCATAGGAATCAACGGGAGGTTGATTTTGATTGAATATAGGGAGGAGCGTGATCAGAATCTGTTGGACCTGTTGATTTCTTCGCAGGATATTTGCTTGTGGGCTTGGCATATGACTTTGCTGATTCCGCTACAGTCTGAAAGAGAGGTGAGATACTAGATATTTGGAGATCTGTCGGGTAAGATGTACCTCGAGTGAGAATGATTTGTTCTCCTCGAACTCAATGAGTAATATGGGCTACTTATAGTGTACTGACATCAGCTCGCATTGCGTGTACCTGCAACTAGTCAGCAATAAAGAAGCACGAATCTGAGAGACTTATAATCGACCGCTATTGAAGCTCATGACTAGATCAGGTATGCTCTTCCTCTCAACGCACATATCTGGTGTGAGGATGTAATCTCTGACAGTCAGCGTCGCTGATGCGTGAAGAAGCGAAGGTAGTGTGGAATGGAATTCCCGCATGTCGACAATTACCTGCAATGGCACAGTACTCAGCTCCTTCCTTCCACCTGCGAGACAGGTGCTGATTGTTTTGATGACTGCATCACTTTTCCCAGCATGTTTGTCCTCGAAGAAGCTTATTCACCAGTCACTATTGAAGCTGCAAACCTATGTGTCAGCATAGAGAATGACGTGACTGCAAGAGACAATGTACATGATAACCGTATCTGCAGTCTGCAAGTTATTCACACATCACCACCAAGTCCCCATACATAAAATGAATGGGTGAACTCAATGAGAGGGTGCAGGAATTGAGGGTGGTGGCAAAATGGTCAGCAGCTTCTTCATGATGTGCACCATCCAAGGCCTTGATTCCAAGTTGAACACGTAGATATGCCTGATGCGTGAGTTGCAAAGATTGGTGTTGATGACCAAATGTGGATGCTACTTACTTGCATGACATCATATGCGAGAGCATCGGCATTCAGACAGCCAGCAGCGAGTTCTTTGAGGAGCAGATTGGCCTCGATGTATTGATCTGCATTGAATAGGGCAATGGCCTGAAATACACAATGAAGCAGAAAGGATGGTTGGGAGAGCGTGGCGATAGCTTGGGGCTGCCATTTGCGAAGACAGGTTTGCGCAGAGAATGGGAAAGTGGTGCCATTACAGGATGAGGACAGAGCTGATGGGAAAGACTGTGAATCACAAAAACAAAAATGCACTTAAATTGCTTCGCCGGTTCAGGGTTCAAAGCAACTCTGTACGCCCTGGCTGGGTCTGCATTTACACTGGGATCAGCTCAGGGTTCAAAGCACTTCGGACTGCCCTGGCCAGCCCAGGTAAAAAGAGAAGATATAAAACTAGTAGTAATATAGTGGGACGAGTTACAGAACAAAGCGTGATGTTGAACCAAAGACACGATCACATGACCTGTCCTAGGATGAAGTCACCCATGTCGCAAGAGAAGTCAGCACAGAAGGACAGCTTGAGGAGTTGCTGTGATATATGGGGAGGGCAATGACATGCGTAGGAGAAGAGCAATGAGGTGCCAAGTGGAAGGTAATGATATGTGCAGAAAAACAATGAGGTGCCTAGAGATGAGGAGGGACGAGGTAGACACGAGATAGGTTGAGTATGAGCTAGAGGAAGACTTTTCCACATCTGTAATCACACTTTAGGGTTGGGAATGCAGACACTTGCATTCCGAACCCTAATATATGGGTCTAAATTGATGTTCCATTGCAGAGTTGAGATATAAAATAAATAAAAAACTCACTGGAGTTATTGCGCTCACTTGGACAGATGGCCCAAGGTTTAGGGTGATGAGTGGGGTTGTTGATGTGATGAGAGAAGCGCCTGGTTGATGAGAGGGGTGAGAACTGGTGCCAATGGCGACCATGCACAACTGGGTGTCTTTGTGTGCTTTGAGGGCAGGATATAGGAATGGCAGGAAGGCTTGAATGTGTGGTGTGAATCGGGCCTGGATTTGAATGGAGCACGTTCTCAGTGCTGAAATGACGCTGAGAGAGAAGACAATGTTAGTGTTAGTGATGCAGATAAATTGAAGGGACTATCTCACCTCATGACCTTGGGTAGCAGCAGTCACTGGTCAGGATGTAATCTAGATAGAGAGTGAGCAGGGAAAAAATGGTCAAAATACGCGGACATAGAGGAAGGAACATGCTGTAGCATGATGTTAGCCGCAAATATATCCAGAGTACCATAGAACTGAGTTGCATGGAGTGGTGTCGGTATTGAACAAACCATGCGGCCAGATCTAGATAGTGCTAGTGCAGGACAAAGTGCAACACAATTGTAACAAACGATCACACTGCCTCGTTAGGGTAGGGCAGGGCTGGTCTGAGTGTGAGGCATGTTGGAACATTTAATGAAAGGGTAAGAACTACACACCTCTAGGAACATCCAGAGTAGATGAGATGTTGAGAACAAGCACCTCATCAGAATGTTGCAATGTTGAGAAGAACAGGTAATTTATATTCACATATCTAAGTCTCCTGTGATTAGATATTGTCAAAGATGTTAGAGACACATACCTTTCTCCTTTTTGAAGATCTCTAACTGAGGATGGATATGTAAGGTTATGATGAGTGCAAACAATGACACCAACACCTGTGGCAGCCAGTCTCTATGAATTCTTGGTGTCAGCAAGATTAACAGTGTTATGGCTGGCACAAGAACTTTTCTAAACACAATCTCAACAAATGACAAACTAGGACATGATCAACCTCACCTCTTGCACCTGGCTGGCATAAGTGTCAAGCACATCTTTGAATCCATTGTGTTCTATGAAGTAATCTCAGCCCTTGCTTAGGCTGGGGTCCGCCTGCTCAGAGGACTTGTTGCACCAGCATAAGCGAAAGTTGGCATCCATTGTGAGAAACAAGGCATAGAGCCATCTACATTCATTAAGCATAAATATATGAATGAAAACAAAAAAACAGCTTACTTGCATTGAAACTTGTTGGTCTCTCAACCCAAAGGAAAGTTTTTGCCAGGTTAAGGATAGGTTGGGCACAGTACAGTGAGCTCTTCTTCCTGTGTGCCAAGAGCACCATCAGGGTCATGGCCACATCCAGCTCGTTTGAGAGATAGTACATATTGAAATTGCTGACTCATTCATAGGAAAGCTTCATAATAGTCCTATACTCATGTTAGCCATGGAAATGATCCAATAGTCAATGTGCTTATCTTGGTCTGATACCTCTTAGTATTATTTGTTAGACATGCCAATGCTTGATAATATTCAAATGCAGATCCTTTCAACTCAAAAGTGTACATTTGGAAGTAATTGAGAACTCAAAAAGTAGCAGCAGTTCGGGGATCCATTATGGTTGCAGGATACCAGCGAGAGTGCAGGAGTTGGGTAGTATGTGTTTGTGCTGTCTTGCAGTTGCAGAAATCAACCATGACACTGGACACTAGTGATGTCAAGGATGGTGAAGTCATCCTGGAATGCAGCTGAAGGATTGCAACAATGAACACCAGATGGATGCCCAAGTTGTATGTGTAGCCCTAGGTCTCTTAAGTTGCTGTGCTAGAAGTAATTTCCAGTCCAAATATTATAGTATTGTCAATTTAAAAGAAACACGAATCAATGTGAATACATACTTCAACATGATGCAAAGGCATCATACATTGCAGCAAGACAACACAAGACTGACAGTAAAGCTGTAACCCTTCACAATTGACACACCGAACAAATGGCTGGTTGATGCATGCCTGCTCCCTATGGCAATGCTTACTCCATCTGTTATCTCCATGCCCTTCATACCAGGTGAATTCTTTAAGGAAATTGTCACACTCTGGGAGCCCTTGTTTTTGAGGATCATCCTGAATATTCATGAAATGAAAAATTGCCAATAGTATACAGAAATAGCACATACTGCTGCTATGCATTGCTGTTTAGTTTTCACTGGTGAGGTATCTGTGCTGGTGTCAGCAAGATAATCAAAGTATGGTTCATCGGCACTGAAATATGAAGTGAAATCAAAAGTCTCAGAACTGGTGGGAACAGCTGAAGATGTGTTGGCATTTTGGAAGTACATGGTTTTGACAGAGTAACGGGTCCTGTTGGTAACATCTACAGAGGTATGCGCATGATATGCGCTTCCCTTGGGAATATGCAATTGAGTTTCTTGGTTGCGTCATTGCCTGGTTCTGGCTGTGAGTTGAATGTTGTTCTCCTTCTTGAACTGCCATCGATACTTGCCCAACTTTTGTTCCAGAGAGCTTTTGACCATGTAGTAATGAAAATAATATACATGCCTTGAATATTCAGTGCTGCAGCATTCAATTTTTATCTAGTCATGTGACACTACTTTTCTATACTGTTACTATCTATGCTGCCAAACTAGTGTGTTGCTAAACAAGATAGCATTAAGAGCTCCCTCGTCCTCATCCATAAGGGAAACAATCTCCTCTTCAGCATCAAGGTAGAGAACTGCTGTAGAAAGGAGATGGGAAGATTTAGTTTTGAGATATGTGGTGTAAGGACCAGCAATATTTTTAACTATTAATACCAGGTCTTCTGTATCCTTCAACAAAATCTGGGCCTCTGCTATTTCCTTCAAAATATCTGTTCTAATGGCACTCCACTCTCATACATCTACATCTTGAAGAACAGTGATCACTTGAGGCTGGCATCCATTATGATTCTGGCTACTACTGGTATAAGTCCTGCTCCATATTTCATCCATTGCTTCATAGGCATCTAGTGTGGCCTGCACAAAATTAGTAGTACATGTCAGTAAATATAGTATTTGAATGTACCTCATCAGCTTCCTTAGCTTGGCTTGACCTCTGTTATGTCTTAGATCGTTCATGCCTGACATATCTAATAGCATCTCACATCCCAATGTCCACTTCTAGGTTGGAGAATGCAAATACCACTTACTGTAAATAATGTACTTTCTTAGACTGTCTGTGAGCCTCTTGGCAGTCTGGTGAAGATGTCCCATTCACCACTCACACTTGTGAGCCTTCTGTAGTAAATATTTCATTTAGATGGAGTACAAGGACAACCTTACCATCAAGGATGAGATTTTGTCTCAGATGAAATCCTATACTCAATGAACCCACATGGCCTCACTTTGCACAGAAGCAATGAAGACCATGTCTGCATGGGGAGAAGAATATGTGTTAAAGATGCAGTGGGAAGCGAAAGCTGAATGTGAGTTACATGTGAAGAAGGCCAAAGCTGAGATGAAGGCACTGTCCAATCCCAGTGACTCCACAAAGTTACAGTGAGTACACAATTCTGAAACATGTTTGATGCTAACATTTACAAGATGCATTGAAGGGCTCAGTGGATTGATCAGACAACTTTTACAGACCATCCATGATACAATGAGTTGGAATGGGAGTGTGTACCTTGGGGGACCAGACCCTTGTGTAGGTGGGGATGTTCATATTTACAGGTCAGGCTTTGTTTTTTGTGCTCAGTTGCCTTGATGATTTATGTTATTGTATAGTTTTCACTACAGCAAGGACACTACTGGCTTCAACTTTCACAATACACTCTCAGACCATCATGCACAAATCATGAAACCATTCACTACATTTCGAAGGACGCTTTTGGTAAGTCAGTGTATTCTTCTGGTTAGGTAACATTGACAGTGTTTCTCCATAGCTGTTCCTACCCAGGAGATGATGTCATACTCATCTTCATCTCCATCTCCATCTCCATCTCCATCAAGTATCAATACTATTGTTCCCACTGGTCCTACTGCAACTCCAGGAGTCTTGCATGCCTCAGCTGATCAACATTTATCCTTGAAGCCAATGCCATACTCATCTCTGTCTCTATTGAGTATCGATACTGTTGTTTCTATTTTGAACCCCACCAACATTATCACTTGTCCCACTGCAACTCTGGGAGTCTCCAATCAACTTTTCTCCTTCAACTCTTCGCATCCTGATGGGATCCACCCCTCCTTTGAGGAATTCTCATTCTATCCAGTGCACATTCCTGATGATTTGCTGAATCTGTCTGGTAATTTCTTGCTCAATCTGTTGAATGAGGCCATCATCAACTTTCTGTCTCGCATGCAGTCATACAAATTCTCAACCACTGCAGCTGTGATGAATGAGAGTCCAAAACTACCTCTCTTTCCATCTGTGGATGAGTTGCATTCTCCTTGTAATGAGGGTGTAGCATCTGGTCAGTCTATAGTACTGTCACCCCCACACTTTCACAGTGCTTTAGCTCGTATAGAGTCTAAGGTCCTCTCTGGTGGCATTAAGAAGGCACCTTGCCCCCATCCATTCAGAGAAGGAACTGATACTCGCCATGATCTATATCGTAGTTCCACTTCTTTGTCTTCTGTACCTCTTGTGATGCCTATAACTCACACAGATCCATTGCTGCCTGCAGCTACTGAGCCTCCTGTTGAGACTCCTCCATGGTGTGGTGACAACAGTCCTGCTGAGTAGCAAGGACAAAGTTGGGTCTAGCTAATGCCTAGCTGCTACGTCTATACAGACACATTCAACCCTAAAGGGATTTGCTACTAGCAGGATGATGGATATGTGTGAACCCAAGAGCACGCTAAGTGTGGAAAAATAGCGGACAAGGTATGCACAAGGTATAGGAATGTATCTGAGGTTATCCAAGGCGCGGGAACGCACAGCTGAAGGTGCAGAAAGCACGGGAAAGTGCAGACAAGGTATAGGGAGGTTAAGGAACAAGGTTTCAAGGGAATGAGGGCAAAGGTATATTGCGAGGTAAGGGATCCTAGGTATAGAGAGGTATAAGGGACCTAATAGGGGCTAAAAAGCGCGCACGACAAGGGACTACTTTGAAGGTAAACCTATAGGGTGAGGTATACAGTATGAGGAAAGTGTATAGTACGAGGGAAGTGTACAGTCTGAGAGAAGTGTAGTAAGTAGTCCTAAGTAATAGGCAACTTATAGTATCTAAAATCCCACTCAGAGTAGGAAGGGATAGGAAATATAGTAAATAGATAAGGACATGTAATAAGGCTGCAATACATTTTACAAGCCTTAAGGTAAGGAAATTCACATACCAATGGGGTTTGGACGGACTATGGATGGACAAGGAACCTTCCTAATGTGTTTCTGAGGTATCCAATCCGCGGGAAAGTGCGGTGTAGAAGAGGAAAGGGAAATGGGGTTATAAGATGGTATGAGATGAACTCAAGTAGTCCTCAATGAGCGAGATATATGTCGGCCCAAGGGGATTGCTACTGAGAAGGTTCCTCTAGGTGTATATATGGAGGGAAACACTGAACTGGTGTCATGCATGGTATGTGATTCATACCATGTCAGATATATATAGAGAGTGATAAGGAAGATATGAGAGACTGTCTAGCCCTCTGTCACTGAGTCACTTCTCCATTTTTCCTTTGATTCATTGTCTTATATTTTATTTCTCACTTTTCAGACTTATTTTTAACTTGTATTTGTATCAAGCATGTGACCTTCTGTTTATTTCTCATTGTTTATTGTTATTTGGCTTCTTTCAGCCACCAAGTTTTGTATCTCTATTTATTTCTGACTGTTTATTTTTATTTGGCTTCTTTCAGCCACCAGATTTTATTTGTCATCACATCATGTGACTGGGAAATATTCTGGTTTATAACATTATTTAAGCTGACTCAACATGTTTAGTCATGATTGGTCATGCTTTGTAACAACATTTAACATGACTCAACATGTTCACTCATGGTTTGTCATGGTTTGTAATTTCTTTGTAAGATTACACTGTATTTGTAATGTACTTAGTAATAAGCTGATTCATCACCTGGATTGTAAGCCACATTCTTACCAATCCATCTGATTAATCATGCTTAGTAAGGGGGTTCCCAAAAGGTATAAAAGGACCCCATTTTCACCCATGAAATACAATCCTCCCACTTGACTCTTATCTCAAACCGTGTGAGACCACTAAGACTTAAAGTGCAGGCCAACATAAGTGCCTTGAGGTAATCTAAGATATCATTATCTACTCTAAGTTGTATACTACCTTACAGGGGTTGACTATATAACTTTCATTATTGTTATTCTACTCTAGGTTATATACTACCTTACAGGGGTTGACTATATAACCATTGAACAGCTCTCATTCTAAGCTTTACGTGTATTCATAAGACTCTCTCTTTCAATGGAAAGTGAGACGCATATCTAAGGACAACAAAGTTGAAACAGACTTTCATAGGTTGAAACACGACCTACTAGGCTGAAACAAACCTACAGAATTATCCAGAACACAGAACATTCCACAACACTTCGTATAAGACTACACAAGAAGAGGACAACAAACTAAATCCTCCCAAGAACTCACCATATTACCTCCCATGAAGTAGAAAAGTCAGAGACCGTGGACTTAAGGACTGGCAAGAAGTCTTCACCATGTATAATTGTGTTGTCATTATACACAACTTTCATATAAGACCCTTAAGTAACAAGATACCAGGTGCTTGGTCAAGCCTGGTAAGGCGCGCAACAATGAGCGAAGCACTAACGAGCAAAAGCAGTGTGAAGTGCCAATGAGCGACGGTGGGTGACGATATGCGACGACATACGACTTATAATGGAAGTGCGCGCTAAGCAGAAGCGGTGTGCGCATGCAGGTAGTGGAGCACAGCGACTTTTAATAAGTCAGAAAACTAATTGGCAGAGTTTCTAGTAGTGTACAGCGGCAGCGCTCATATTGTACTTAGATACTTCGAGTTGATTTGATATGAAGAAGAAATTTTAGACTTAGAGTCCAACGATGTGTGGGCAGAAAGATAGCCATCATACAGTTTAGGTGCGTGTATATATACTAAGTAATACTAAGCGCTGTCAGGCACTAAAGCGAACTGAGAAGTGAAGCGGATATGAGATAATATGTAATGTAAAGGTCCACAATGGAAAACATACAAGATATGGCCATAAGCACCAGAGATATGTCAGAATAAATGGAAATAGGATGGGAATATGCACCGACAAACCGAATGGACATGGAATGGATGGACGGAGGACAAGCGACAGAACCAAGGGTGCGTGCACCGATGCGCAACTGAAGCACTTGTGTGCATGAGCGGCCGACAAAGCGCTTGAGTGCACTGGGTGAGATATGAGTCGCACTATATTGGGAAGTGATAGAGACATTGGGAATTTAGACCCCTGCAAGCCCACAGAGATATTAGTCTCTACATCTCATAGGGACTTAGCTTCTGACTGTCCCCAGTCAGTGTATATAGGGGGCCCCTATATGGACTTTGTGAATTTTTCAATGAAGAAGTCATGTGATCGTGGGCAGAACACACCAAAAGCATATGTGGAATGATCCACCGGAGTTTTGCGAATGGTGGATAGCAGGCGTCATTGTGCTGACATAATGTGGTTTGTTTTGGGCATAAAAGAACTGGCCTCGCATCGCACTTCTCTTCTTCAATTCAATTCATCCATCACATCTTCACAATTATCTCTTCACCACCTCCTACCATCATGTCCTCCATTATCTTCAACCCTTCTATGCTTACTACTTCCCCTTCTCCCTCTCCCTCTCCCGAGGAGTGCCCGCAAGAAGGTGGCAACATGTCTGTCAATGATGCCACTCTTGACGATGTAACTCCAAAGGAGCCTGAGGAGTCCGATGAGGAGCAGATCGAGCGCGCATGGGCCACCATGCTCAAAACTATGCACGTCTGCGCGGAGACCTCTCCTCCCCCCAAGCCCGAGCTCTTGGAGGAGCAGGAATCTTGGCTCCATGACTGGAATGTCACGATGGTGAGTGGCTCTTGTTCTTCCTTCACTTACTTTTCATTGACACTTTTTCATAGAATGATATGACTGCCGTGTTCGAGCGGGCACACACAGCTGGACTGCTCGTGTCCTTGAACGATACTGCGGCAGCTACCCTGGCTGAGGGCAAAGCTACTGCCAAGATGCTTATGCGGGTAGTGAACTCTTGGAAGGAGAAGGCAGAGGAAACTGCTGCAACTGCATGTCTGACGTGCGTGGACAAGGGGAAAGAGAAGGAGGCCGCACCATCCGAGAAGGTGATGGAGAAGTCAGGTGAGAAGGCGGCTCCTACCAATATAATTGACATGGGGTGGCCAGCGAGTTTCTTTCTTTTTCTACTAGATTGTTTTCCCCATTTATTGACCCACTATTCTAGTGTTTGGGTGGACAGATGACTGCTACATCAGTGATTCATCCAGTCAAAAGGTGCAATCGTTGTGTGACATCGGGTGCCAAGTGCGCCATCCTTCAAGAGGGTGGTCAGTGCGAAGGGTGTATTCGAGAGCAGAAGGCGTGCTCCTTTGGTGAGTCTGTGACTGATACTTTTGTGTCGCCTTTTCTTACTAATCCCGCATTTGGCGGTTGCGGAGAAAAAGAAGGTGTGCGCAGCTCCTGCACCAAAGCGCCCCCTTCCGTGCAAACTACCACACCCAATGCCGGTGATTCTGAGGTGGAGGTTGTGGGTGAGACTAGGGTCGATAAACCCATCGCTGCTCCTTCCAAGGAGATTGTTGTTCAGCGACCGAAATGACTGCTTGCTGCTGAGGCTGGTCCTGTCATGAAACCATAGTAAATGTGAATGGCATGTTTAGCCTCAGCATAAATTTTCCATGGGATGAACTCAAAACTATCAGCCAGCATAGGGTGGCTAAGAAGCAACTGGAGGCACTTGATTGTGTCCCAGTAAAAAATATGCACAGTCTTCATTGTTGGGAATTCCATAGGAACTACTTGATACTTCCACTGAGGTGGGGATGGTAGTATTTTGGTGTGTTCTCAGAGCTCTTTCGAAGAGCAAAATGAAAGTGATAGGTTTCTGGTCTAATTTCACCTGAGTTTAGACATTCTTTCATACAACACAGATGGACTCACAAATTTAAGCTTGAGAAACTCATCAATGTCTGCCATGCTGAGGTCCAACCGAAGCAGGAATGCCACCATCTCCCAGTCTGGTTTGCTAGTGAATGGAAAATGCGGATTGCCCACCTTCTCCTCAGCGTAGTTGTCAAACTTGAATTGCTTCATGAATGTTGTTCCTCTACCCCAGGTCTTCGCTGCACCAACATAAAATGCCACTTCTTGATCATCAGCCTCTACAACAGTATCCTCATGCTCTGGCTCCTGGTGATTTTCCATCATGTATGTGTCGTCAAAATTCATTCCGTCTTCTGGCATGGAGGTTTGAGGTTCTACTGACAAGGTTTGTACTGGTGAGCCTCAAAAGCGAACTAAGTTATCATTCCAGTTGAAGCACTGTGAGATAGGCTGATTTAAATGTTGTAGAACACCTCTGTCATTCAGAAAGTGCTTTCCACAGGAAGGCTACCACATACCCAATATGCAGTATTGATTCAAAGTATATCCGGCAATTTCCAGACCAACTTCAACAATACTACAATGTTGTCAGACCAACTACCATCTCCCACTATCCATTCAAACTCTCATTCACCTCTAAGGTATTTTTCATCTCCAGGTGAAACTCCTAGATGCAGCAGAAAAATATGTCCAATTCTATCAGACTTCAGTTATGCAGACGATTCATCATCCACTTCTTCTGAACATCCAGAAACACTCAATAAGGTTCCTTTATGTAGGGTGTAAGATATGTTCACTGACTTTCAGCAGAACTTTAATGCAGCTTATCCTGAAAGTGCTGAGGAGGCCATGTACTTGCTGGAGATGGCATGGGCAGATCTGGAAGTTCAATGTGTTGAAAGAGACTTAGCTGATCGGCTTGTCCTTCAGCTTCAGGTGCACACACATTATTGACAACTTTGGGCTAGGAAAGCAAGGAAACAATTCGGAGATACGGAAATGAATGTAGGACACGTGCATGCTCAGGTGGTAAGGAATGGTTTTCAATGTTCAGAGCATTCATTTTGCTCTGGCATCCTTCCTGGTATGTCATTAGTTCCCACTTGTATACGACACTAATATACACATTCTAAATACTTTCCTTCATAGATGCGCTGTTGTAATAGAGTCCTATATATTTAAATCGCAATGTTTTTTGTCTCACTTTAAATTGTATTTTACCTATTGCAAACCTTCAAAAATGTCCAGCACATTAAGTTATTTGTGATTTCAATAGAACTAAGTGTTAACTCTAATTCAAATATTAATGCTGCTCAGGAATCAGCACCGCATGATGACCACAGCATCCCAAATTTTTGAAGGGACTCATATGTGAATCTCTGTAGGTTTCTGTGAGCCCTGTGAGTCTGTGGTGTCTGCACACTGTCACACTGTGCATACTGTAGGGCTCTGTGGTGGCTGTGTGGCTGTGGGAGTTTTGTACCCAAAATTGGTAGTTTGCTGATGTTGTGAGATTGATGGATTGTTGGACACTGTGTAGAGGGTAGGAAGTTGTCACTACTAGGCTACCCATGAGCTTGAATATGAAGCAGGGCTTATAACCTTTTGGCTGAAGTTGCAACACACAGGAACAAACAGAAGGCTAAAACAAATGAGTGTATACTAGGAAAGTTAGTCAATGAATAAAGTATAATAACGAGTGTCTCACCTCAGCCGTACACTCGTAGTCTAGTGGATTGAAATGTAAAAGAATTTAAGTCCTCTGTATGTACCAATGTGATTATGTAAGCTGTACTTGCCGCGTTCAGAAATCAATATGCAACAAATTCATCACTCACACCCAACAGTTGCAGTAGCATGTATTGAACTGTAGCAGATAGCTCAGCGACGTACAAAGTCAACTAGTCATATTGGTATACCTGTAGCAGATAGCTACATGTGTTGTTAGTTAAGTAGATACTGAATACTAGATGGTACTAACCTCAGCGACATATGAAGTCAACTGAGGATAGTATGAGGCACGGGAATGAACGAGAATATATAGGTACGAGGTAAGCTACCGGTACCGAGTGTCCATGACAAAGGTTTGATAATCCAACACTCCCCCTCAAACCGAGCGAAGTCTGAGGGCGGAGGCAAAGTGTTTAACCTTTAAACTAGGAAGAGCTTTTGTAAGTGTATCAGCAATCATGTCGTCCATAGGACAATAAGCAATTGAAATAGAACTTTTGTCCATGCAAAAACATATGAAATGGTATCGTATATCAATGTGCTTAGTCCGAGCGTGAAACGCTCCGGACTGAGCAAGCGCGATGGCAGATTGGTTGTCACAATGTAAGGTGGTAGGGCTGGTAAGCGGGTGAAAGACTTCACTGATGAAGCACCGAAGCCAGATGGCCTCCTTTGCAGCATGCGTCGCCGCGACGTATTCTGCCTTTGTCGTGGAAAGAGTCACCAACTCTTGCTTCTTCGACGCCCAAGAGACCGCTCCACCATCCAACAAGAATGCGTAGCTGGATACAGCGTGTCTGTGTTCTTGTGACGCGCCGTCAGCATCAGTAAAACCTTCCAGGCCTTGTCTGCGGCCGCCGAAAGTGAGTGCAAGGGTCTTTGTACCTATAAGGTAGCGATAGATCTTTTTGACAGCGTCCCAGTGGGGCATGCCAGGATTTGCCCAAAATTGGGCTACAGTGGATACTGCGAAGGCGATGTCGGGGCATGTACCGACAGCGAGGTGCATGAGCGAGCTGACGGCTTCATGATAGGGCACGTTCTTCATCTGTGCGGACTCGGTAGGGGTTGTAGGAGACTGCGAGTGCAAAAGTGGGAGGCTGGGGTCCATTGGGATGGAGCACGGCTTCAAATCTATGAAGTTGTATTTGGTGAGTATAGCTTCGACGTAGGTCTCATGCGAGAATGAGATGGTGCGCGCAACACGGTCGCGCGTCACCTTCATGCCGAGCAGGGATGTGACTGGACCTAAGTCCGTGAGCTTGAAGCGTGCAGCAACCTGCTGCTTGAATTGAGCAATGAGAGAGGAGTTGCTGCCGGTGATAGTGCAATCATCAATGTGAGACGCGAGAATGAGGATGTCCATGCCTATGTGCTTAAAGAATATCCCCCAGTCCGACTCTGCACGCGTCATCTCTTCATCAGCCGACACAACTCCTGATACCACTTTAAAGCTCCTTGCTTTGACCCGTAGAGCGCAACACGCAACAGCATGACAGGGCGCTTGAACTTCTTGTTGACGTTTAAACCAGGTGGGAGCTCCATATAAATGATTTCGTCCTCGTCCAGCTTATCGTTGAGGAAGGCACTGTGGAAGTCGAAGACGTCGATATTCCAGTCGTTTCGTGCGGCGATGGTGAGGATGGTACGGAGAGATGCGAGGCGTGCGACAGGTGCGTAAGTGTCATAATAGTCTACGCTGTATACCTGGGAATAACCTTTAGCCACTAGCCGGGCTTTGTACTTGTCGATTTCCCCGTCCACGTTCCACTTGATCCGGAACACCCATTTGCACCCTACTATATTTGCACCTTCAGGCTTCTCGACGATCGACCAAGTCCATGCTTCTTCTAGGGAGGTGAGTTCCTTGTTGATTGTGTTTTCCCATTTGGGCCAATCTGTTCTGTTGCAGGCTTCCTTGATCGTCGTTGGGTCGCTACTCGCTACTTCAGCGACTCCTGCCACCATGGCAAAGACCTCTTCATCATCCTCATCTATCTCTCCATTCTCCCCCTCCAGTCTGAGTTCGGCTGCCAAGTTGGATTCTTCTGGGGTGGGTTGCATCCCACAAGGTAGATTGCTGCTTTTTCCGTCCGTAGTGCCTGTGCCATCGCGCAGGCTCTTGATATATGCTGACTCGACTCTTACTCGTGCAGATCGACACGGTATCGTTGCAGCTTCAAATTGTGGACCTAAGTGGTCAGTAGGAGGGGCTGGATTCGGGTTTTGGGTTCTGGGTTGCCGGTGAGTGTTGAACTGACATCATCGATTTGTGCCGTGTGTCTAACCGTTGGTGGGGCAGTTGAACCGACATCATTGGTTCGTACCGTGCGGCTTGCCGGTACACTGCCTCCCTCTAGAGGTACGTCCACCTCTACTATGTCGAATGTGACACTTCTTTCCACAGCTACTTGCCTGACATCGGGTAAGTACACTTGGTGCCTGTTACTCTCTGTGTCAAAGCCCATCCACCGGCCGTCTATGGCGCACATATCCAGCTTCGAACCAGCTGTGGTATGGACTTTTACACGACATCCCCACACAGGTACGTTGCTTAGGTCGGGTTTCTTTTTGAATAGCGTCTCATATGGCGTCTTGTTTTCCAGCGCGCGGGTCGTGGTATGGTTCTTCAGCCAGGTAACGTGCATGATAGCTTCTCCCCACAGATATTTTGGGAGCCCACTCGCATGCAGTAACGTGCGTGCCCGTTCGACAACGGTTCTGTTCAACCGCTCAGCGACCCCATTGTGTTCAGGCATGTCATGTACGGTGAGTTTCTGTTCTGTGCCATTTTTCTTCAAATGACGCATGAACTCTTCACTAGTGTACTCTCCCCCTCGATCTGAGCGGAGACGCTTCACCTTCGTGTTAAGTTGGGTGTTAGCCCACACTTCGAATTTGGTGTAAGCGTCGAAGGTCTGGTCCTTCGACTTTAGGAGGTAAAGGTGGGTGAAGCACGTGTGGTCGTCCGTGAACGACACGAAGTACTCCTTCTGACCAGGAGTCCTGACAGGTGAAGGGCCCCAGAGGTCACTATGGACCTTGTCTCCAAAGTTCTCGCGTCTGGGTGGGTCTCGCACTTCTTTGATCGGCTTGCATGTGGCTTTTGCATACTCACATGATTCGCAGCTCTCCATCGTCGCTTCGGACGGGTCAAGCGCAACTCCGGTGATTGCACCATCCCGGATCATTTGCACGATACCGCTGGGGGCTACATGTCCTAATCTTGCATGGAGTTTGCGCATGGTGAGTGCTTCTTTTGTGTTAACTGCGCCGGCAAATGGTCTCTTTGGCCCTCTAATGCAGTATAGGCCTTTGTTTACCGGTATCTCCCCCATCATCCTCTTCTTCTCATTGAAGATTTTGCATGAGTTCTCCCGGAACAACGCTGCATACCCGGCGGATGCGAGGCGACTAATGGACACTAGCGTCAACCCCATATGAGGTGAGTAGAGCACATTTTTCAGCAAGATGCGAGTTTTTGACTGGCTGTTTGGTAGGGATATCTCTATGTTCCCCTTCCCAGTGGCTTGAAAGGTGTGTTTATCCGCCATTGTTATCGGCTTCAGTGCGATGCTGACAAAGTCTTGGAATAGGTCTTTGTATGACGACATATGGCATGAGGCGCCTGAGTCGAACAATTCAATTCGAGCATCTTGTTTTCTGCTCGAGTCCGTGAGTGTGGCAAAGGTAAATGATGTTCTCTCTTGTGATGGACTTGTGTCATGCACTAACCACACTCCTTCAGGTTCATTGTCCTTGTCCTTGTCTTTCACGCTTGTGGCCGTTTCTGGTCGTTTTCCCTTGGCGTCGGACCTGTCTTTGCCTTTTCCTCCGGCTGATCCTCCTCCCCCAGGTCTGTGACAATCACGCTGCATGTGGCCATACTTGCCGCAGTTGTGGCAATTCCCCTTTATCTTACGAGTTGTTCGGTTCATATTTGCGTTGTATGCTGCATCATCTGCTGACGACCCGCCTTTCTTCATCTTCGAAGCTCTTCGGTCGTACTTGTCAACGACTGTTGACATTAGCACGTCCGTGGTGAGTTTCACACTTGATACTTTGGTGGAGGCCGTTAACGTGGATAGGTGGGGATCGTAGGATGCCAGGAGTGAGCTCATTATGATGGCTGCAAAGCTTTCGTCCATTGGCACGTGGCCCAGTGAAGACAGCTGCTCCTTGATGGTGCGTAGTTTGTTGAAATGCTCTCTGATGTTGCCTTTTTCAGCGCACTTCTGGTCTTGGAGCTTTCGCAATAGCTCCACAGACACTACGTGCGAGCGCTGCTCGAAGAGACTCGCAAGGTGCGTAAAGATGTCTTTAGCCGTGTTGAGATTTTTGATTTGTATGAATAGAGAATCGGGGATCGTTCCCACGATCTGCTGCTTTGTTATGGCTTGGCTGGTGCGCCATTCCTTAAACTCTGTTTTGTATGTACTAACTTCTTTCACTTCATCCGGAGTAGCAGGTACCCACGACGCTCCTCTGTTAGGCAGCGTCTTGGGGTCTATAGGCTTCATCTTGGTGCCATCCAAATGGCCGAGCAGCCCACGAGCATCAATGGACCATTGAAGTCGCTCTTTCATCAGAGGATGTCAAAAAATCCTGGACCTCACTTATCCACCTGAGGAGCCTGAATTCAGCATATCAGTAACTTCAGACATCCAGATTTCTTCTGGAATCTGTAGTGTCCATTTCTGAATTCAGTCATCCAGTCATTCAGACTCATTAGACTTTCAGTCATTAAAGTCATCCAGTATATCAGATGTTCCAGTGAGTTCAACCACTCAGGTTATCAGCCATCCAGTTGTTTTGACATTCCAGACTCATCAGTTCTTCAGTATACTAGGATGATTGGTGTAGCAGGTATTCAGTTGAGCAGGCTATCAGGTAATCCAGCATAACCAGTAGACCATTATTCCAATAGAACAGTAGCCCAATAGTTGAGTATTTCAAGTCCATAGTTCTATAGTAGCCTAGTGATCAAGTAATCTAGTGGTCTAGTAGCTGAGTATTTCAAGTCCACAGTTCCATAGTAGCCTAGTGATCAAGCAATTTAGTGGTCTAGTAGCCGAGTATTCCAACAATTTAAGCATTCCACAGTGGCAGTCAATTCTCAAACAACAGTTTATCAGTCTGCCCAAGCACCAGAATACCAAACAAAACAGTCCATTCATAGCTGTAGTACTAGACCTGACCATACAAATTTCTAACCTACTACTCTGACTCAGACTCGGACTTGTAACATAAGGCCCTTCCTGATAATCCTGCTCCACCTGTGTAACATTGTTGAACACATATGGACTTCGGCTTATGGGCCCCAATGAAGTGCACAGCTCTTTCGAGTATTTTCGTCCATGTGCGAGGTTTGAGTTTGTTGATAGATTCAAGGATCTCTTGTGTTGGAAGATTCCACATCGAATGAGTCCTGGACTAATTCACCTGTAGCCCATTGCTTCCATGCTCTCTCAACCTTGTGAATACACGTGAGACAACTGTTGAGGAAGACATAAAACAAACATACTGCGACAGTTGCGAGGGAAAGTGCAGCTTTTGGGGACGAGGTCTTCCGGAGGCCATCAGGGATCGCAGCTATACTTTCGAGATAGAAGGCAAATGTATTGAGGATTGTCTTATGCTGAAACGACCCCTTCCCTATCTAAAACACCAGTTAATGAATTTGCTCAGTTGAGAGCTAGCCACTTACTGGATTCTCAGAGTCGCTCTCATCAACATTGGCCCACATGAATGGGAAGATCGGAGGTGGAGCATTTCCTCTGCCTTCATCATCATGAAAGGCCTGAGTTTGGGGGATGGCCCATTCAATGTATGCTTCAATTTCAACGGGTGTATCAAAGCCTGTGACCTGCCATGAGATGAAGGCCACCACGGCCTTTTTGCCACGTGTTGCGAACATGCTGCACCAGTCGTACGTGCGTTGCTTGACCTGCAGGAACATGAGTAGTGAGAACATGGAAAACAAACTGCTTACTAGGAAGAACACCGGATCATTCTTCTTCTGGAGGGTGTGCGAGTGACCTGTAAAACAACAGTCCCAAAGTCGTTGCGCATCTGGAACTCGATCTGCTATATCCCAAGGCTCTTCAAATCGTGCAATGAGCTCGAACCACATTGGCATAAAAACCGTCCTAAAATGACGAATTGTCCCAGGTGGAAGATCCTCATTCCAAAATTTTTGGCTCGGTTGGCGTTTATGGCGGCGCACCTTTCCTTGTACATGAGTGGTGCTGCCACTTCCATCAAAGTCCATGTCATTATCACGGTCTGTGGCATCGTCATCAGCCTCGCAGGTTGCTAGTCCATGTCGCATCGAAGACTTCTGCTTTGACTTGGTGTTAGCCGTGGATGATGTCTGTGAATTTGAACTTAGATGATTAAGCATGAAGGGGACATCACTTACCTTAGCAATGGCGAGGGCCATCATACCCTATAAGTTTAGTGTAAAAATGTTAGTTTGTATTTGCGCATGTAAATGAATATACTAATTACCTTCGACTGGGCGCTATTTGCAGAGAGCTTCTCTTGTGAAATTTGAATATGTGTCTTGAAGGCATAGCGCTTGAGGGACTGGACACTATGTTGCCTGGAAGAATTGGGTTTAAGTTGTATTTTATGCTCCATAGTTTTGCGGCTGTTCCTGTCCTTGCGCCTCAAGTCACAGTCTTCACCGTCATCCATTCTGACATCCCTATTCTCCTTCAAAAGAGTATCACTCTGATCGCTAGCATTATCATCAACGTCGCTGGGCTTATCATTAATATCGTTGGGACCCTCAATGTTGCGATCCATATCGTGATTGGAGCTGGGTTCTGGGTTGACTTTGGATCTCTTGCTAGGCTGGGCAGATGTTGGGGCGTCCATGTCGACATCGGACCTGGACTTAGAGTCACTGTTGACTCTGTTCTTGAACTGAGTGGACGATGGGGCGTCATCGTCAGAAGAATTGAGCAGTACAGCGAAGCGAAAAAGTGACAGTGGCACTGTCCGTCGTGTGGTTCCTTGTGTCTTGCTCTGCGATAAGCTCTGTGACGATGTCCTATCTGCACCACTTGGAGACGGATCAGGCCATACTTGATCTTCTTGCTCCTTCGACACGCTTGACGAGGTGGTGGGCCATTCTGGTATGTAATCAGTACTTGTTTGCCTCTGTGCCTCCCCTACACTGCCTTGAGGCGAAACACCACATGTTGGAGCTCTTTGAGATGATGATTTCTGCTCCATCTGAGATAAGACAACAGTTTGAAACAAATTGACGCGACCTACAGAAATAATTGGCTTCTGTGCCTTGGTGATTTCGACGTCTGGAGGAACATTGGAGAGATCAGGATGATCGTCGAGTCCCGAGAAGGGATTTACTGAGGTGTTCCTGCCTGAGTTTGTGAAGATATACTAGATGTGTCAGAAAGACGCATTAAATCACATACCTGATGTGCATGAATCTGCGGACTGGCTGTTTGGAGCTGGCTGCGAATGCTGAGCTATTTTTCCGTAGGGAAAAGCAGGTTTCTTGTTGTGATTTGGCACGCTAGCTTCCACAATGGAAGACCAGCCAGGGATGACACCAGATGTAGCTGGTTGAGAGGTAGAGCGGAAGGTTGACACTGCTGAGGCTTTAGTCTTTTTGGAGGGACGACATCTAAAGTAGTTGATTGGTGCGCATATAAGGTCCATCGTGGTAGTAAGGGCAAGAAGTTCATGTTTAAGCGCTGATTAATTTCAAATAGAGATAGCTTACTCAATGTCATCAAACTCCGAGTCGTTGCCTTTCTCCGAGTCATTGAATGTGCGTTTGGTGAGCCTCACATTCTCCTCGCGACTATCCTTTTGACTCTTCATTGCACAATTCCCATTTGCAGTGTCCTTGAGGCTTGCATCATCATCTTCATTCATCGCAGCTGTGTCTGTGGTGTGTGATTGCAATTAACAGTAAACAAATGTAAGGTGCGCACTTACCCCTTGTATGATTCTGAGTCATCGGTTTTGTTGTCTTCAACAGTCTGGTTGTTTTCAGCACACTGGGTCCACACGGTTGACGTGCCTCCGCTCTATCTTGAGTTTCTTTGGCACGTATTGCCTCCTCCATCTCGACGACATTGTTGGATGTCTTACCCTTACTCTTTTTCAGGTCAGCTGCCTTTCTCTTTTCCCTGAGGATCTCGTCTCGCGATCAACGGGGAGGCGGCCGGTCGACTAATCCTGGGTGAGCATGCTTGTTTGCTTTACGAGTGTCCACCATGCTGACGTGTCTATGTGCAGTAATTTAATAGTAAAATAGCAAGTTCGTTTGCTGACCTACTATATACACGTGAGTGTGGAAATTTCCTGTATCAAGTCCTAATTTTCCCCATCAGTTTTTGTCTATTTTATTGCAAAGTCGGCTAATTAGTAACCCAGTGCTCCTCAGATCAACGCGAGCCTCAAGCACAACATTTGCGAAGTCACTTCTTGTGACAAGAACACATTGCATACATCTATTTGGTATGTAACTAATATTCGTCTAAGATACACATGAAACTAATTGCCCTCGCCAGTGTATAGGGCATAGGTAATCTCCATCTTACACAGATAATGCCTCAGCGACCTACCTACCGACCACGCAAGTTTTTCTGCGCCAACCCTATCAATGCTCAGTGTCGCAAGGGATTTTTGACTCATGCAGGCCTCGCCAACCACAGAAACGCTGTGCACACCAATTTAGTACTACCCCCTTCTCGCATCCCTCAATACCAACCGCAGCCCATGGAGCATCATCACTTTGACAACAATGTTGGTCAACAACCCGACACAGATGTCGATAGCAGGAGCGACTCCAACAATGCACCTCCGCTTGGTGCATACTTTGTATGGCACTCTGTGATTGATGGTAAGTAATCGTTAGTGAACTATTGTCTGGTCCAGTGGCTGACCATTCATTGTTCATACAGGAACTCCTTGTGATATGGACGGCAATGACCTCAATGGATCACAACCTCTCCCTCACGAGAAGCCAAAATCACCATGGCATCCATTTGCCAATTGAGGTCACTTCTCCCTCGGTGATTTCATGTCCGGAAATTGGGTGTGGAACCAATGTGTATGTTGAATAGCTAGCAATCCTATAATGTATACTAACGACCTTTTAGAATGAACTGTCAGAGGACCCCGAATGTCACGGCGCAATGTTTGTTCCTGTCATCTTGGGTAGCGACAAGACGACCGTGTCAGTTGCAACTGGCAACAGTGAATACTATCCACTGTACATTTCAAATGGAAATGTACATAACAATATTCGACGCGCTGAAGGTACAACAATTCAGATGGTGAGTCTGAACAATGTTGGGTCTTGCAGAACCTAGCTGCTATTCGACCCTAAAGGGTTTCTGGACTAGGCTTAAGGCTCAGAGGAGAGGAAATATCATAAAAACTACTGAGGACTCTGACTCATACTGGTAACTGGTGAAAAGATTACTTGATTATGTAAGCTACAAAAGTGCCAACATAAGGTAAGGTAAAAACAGTCTCTACAAGCCCAACCAGAAATGAATCCCTACAGCGCTCACGTTAATGCTGTTAGCTTGGTAGGGTTTTTGGCTATCCCTAAATGTAACTAGTAGTTCGTGTACTATTGGACAGACAATTTTGATAACCATTGTCCTTCTCATTCAGCTGATCGAGAACATCAAAATGATCAAGAATTTCGCGACTTCCGCCGTCACTTGTTCCACAGGTCACTGGAGGCAATTCTCTCATCACTTCAGCCCGCAATGACTACACCAGAGGTGACATTATGTCCTGATGGACATTACCGTCGCGCAATTTATGGGCTCGGACCATATATCGCTGATTACCCTGAGCAATGTTTACTTTCTTGTATTGTTCAAGGCTGGTGTCCGAGGTATGCAACAATGTTTCTATACTGTTTATTTTTTTCAGATGCTGATTTTGCGGTTTTGATTAGGTGTACTGCCTCAAGAAAAGACTTGGACAAGAAGAATGCAGGTCACCTCCAAACACATGAATTCACTGAACTATTGAGGGGTACGTATGCATGGAAAGTGTTATGGGACAACTGGGGGATCATCGATGATATTATGGTAAGTACTACTATCTCACCTCCAACAAGACATTGCCAATTCATTGAATGTTTTAGCCATTTACAGCCTCATTTCCTCAGGCAAATATTCATGAGTTGTTGTCACCCGATCTGCTCCACCAGGTGATTAAAGGTTCATTCAAGGACCACCTTGTTACCTGGGTCGAAAAATATTTGGCGAAGACATTCGGAACATCTAAGGCTGCAGCAACGATGGCTGAGATAGATCGAAGGTACATATCTCAATCAAGCTACTATATGTGATGTACTCACATGCTTCTATCATATCAGAGTTTCTGCTGCTCCGTCGTTCCCTGGTTTAAGACGCTTCCCTGAAGGTCGACACTTCAAACAATGGACAGGTAATGATTCAAAGGCCCTGATGAAGGTAGCGGTGTTGATTCACTATGATAGCTACAGTTGAACTAATATACTATTATTTTGTCATACTAGGTATTTCTTCCTGCAATTACTGGCCTTGTTCCAGATCAAATGGTCTGAGCCATTTCTGCTTTCATGGACTTTTGCTATCTCGCACGTCGTTCTACCCTCAGCGAGGCTGACCTAGATGCGCTGGACGATGCTTTGGCTCAGTTTCATAAAGAGCACAACATTTTCATTGACTCCGGTGTCATGCCAGACGGAATATCACTTCCACGCCAACATGCCTTGATGCATTATCAAACACTTATAGAGCTTTATGGTGCCCCAAATGGCTTGTGCTCGTCGATCACAGAGTCGAAGCACATCAAGGCCGTCAAGAAACCCTGGAGGCGCTCGAATCGTCACCTACCTTTAGGTCAGATGCTCTTGATCAACCAGCGACTCAATAAACTTGCCGCATTCAAGTCTCACCTTGCTGCCCACGGATTCCTAAACCCAGCCTCATTGGAACCTGCTGACATTGATCCAGGTGACTTCGAGGATCTTGATGACGAGTTTGATCCTGAGGAGGCTCGTTTTAGAGATGACTCCAATCTTGAGGATGTTGAGCCAGATACTGAACTCACTAGGGTTCAAGCATCTGTAGAACTGGCCCAGACTCGAGGTAAGAGCACCGATGATTTCTCTACTAGCAATATAGTACTTACAAGAGTACTCAGCAATGGAATACCCTCGTCGGCCTCCCGAAATTGCTGCATTTATCAATTTCCTGAATCTTCCTGAGCTAGTGGGCCGCTTTCTATATGATCAGCGCAACCCAAATGCTTCCATTCAAGCAGCTGATATAGTAGATGTCAGTGTTCTTCCAGTTATCGAGGGGAGAGTAGATGTCTTCAACTCAGCTGTTGCAACATTCTGCGCTCCAAGTGACATCTGTGGAGTTAATGCAATGCAGCGCCAGCATATTCACAGCTGCAGGTCTTGGTACAATGGTCCTGCTTGCCATGACTGCATATTTGCCGAAAAAGACCCCTCTCTCCCCGTATTTCAAGGCCTATATGTCGCTCAAGTCATCCTCTTCTTTTCTATCACTTATCGTGGTCAGCTGTATCCATGTGTGTTGGTTCGTTGGTTCGCTCCTATTGGCAATGAGCCATGTAAATCCACTGGCATGTGGATGGTAGAACCTGAATTGGATGATGACAGCGGTGAGCGGCTTGTGTCCGTCATTCACTTGGACAGTATCATGCATGCAGCACACCTGATAGGTGTTTATGGTTCACAAGACATTCCCCATCATCTCAAACACACTGATTCTTTGATTGCTTTTTCAGCTTACTATGTTAATAAATTTTCAGATTATCACGCTTATGAAATCGCTTATTAACCACTACTAGGAGACTACTGTACACTATATGTTGATCTTCCTTATACTATTTTGTACAGACTGTACTATGCTCCATGATAGTCTCCTCACAAGTGCTGGCATGCTGGACACGGCAAACTCTGCAACTCCTTTGACAGCACGGCTCGGAGCTTCTGAAGCCGCATTTGTATATATATAAGCAAGCTAACACATAGTAGGGTGCCAATCAGGCTTATCATGCCAACCTCCCTCACTCTACCACTCAGAGCACAAAGTGCTTATTATGATTGCAGTCAAGCATGGAAATCTCAGCCCTCCACACCACAGCAAAAACGATACTCCCTAGCAAGTGGCCCTCCGCTGGTCAAACACCATTCAACACCCTCAGCAAACCGCTTGGCCATTCAATCTAGTACAGACACCTGCGCGCAATTTGAAACTAGTCTTCAGATTTCGACACTAAGAGAGCCATCAGCTCAAGAAATCAATAAAGGTGGTGCGTTTTTTACTGCGTCGTATCCTTTGTTAACCTTCTTAAACAGTTTGGCGCAAGAAAATCATCACTGAAATCAGAGGGCGAAGACATGGAGTCCACGATTCCCAGGTATGAGAACATTCACACGATAATTTCGCACAGGCCCGGGCTGACTCGTACTGACTCATGCAGAGCTTCTCCCATGTGTCAATCGATGATTATGAATATATTGCAGAAGCCATTGCCAGGGATGATGATTGGTACAAGTAAGTACTATCATTATCCGATAATCGCCATCTAACGCCTTGCTTTCAGTCTATCATACACCCCCTCGTCCTCACAACTCGTCGTAATCCTGCCTAGCCCAATTCACGAGAATTTTCTGATGCCATTGCGCAAATCCATGGATGCCGCATTTGCGTCCATGGGTATCGCCCCAGAATACGGTGAATTCATGATACAGATGAACTCCACTCTTAATGGGCATGGGACGTCAGGATCCCAAGCGAAACCACTTGGCCAGCCTGACATACTTGTTGAGTTTCACGATAAAGAAAGTGGACGGCTACAGCTGTGGGGAACTGAGGTGTCCTACTCTGAGACACGACAAGACGTCCTATACAAACTCCAAGATTACGTCGACGGTGCCCTGAATATTGTTGCCCTCACATTGTTTGATATCAAGGAAAATGTACGCCACTCACCACCAAAGGAGTCATCAAGGACGTTTGATACGTTGAACGAGGTGGAGTTAGTAGTGCCATTCCACAAGTGGATTCGCAAGTCCAACAAATCATTTCCCAGACCAGTCACCATGTTTCGCCACAACTGGGTGTCTGCAGTTACAGTCACAGTCACTACGTGGCTCCGTCGCCCTACCGGACAACTCAATCTGAATGACCACGATAATGAGTTTTACCAATATGCGGTGAGTGGTCCCCCTCATCAAGTAGTATCGTCTAACATCAATAATAGGAGCTGACTCCAAACACTGACTCCACCGGCCTTGCAAACGTTCAACGTTTGTTTCAACACACCATGTTGAGAATTCGGGATACGACCCTCGATCACATTGATCAGCTGGCAGCCGAGGACGCTGCAGAGGAGTCTAGCAGTGATGAGTCTAGCAGTGACGGTTCTAGCAGTGACGGGTCTAGCAGTGATGGGTCCAACAGTGACGAGTACGTTTTTTCAAAACTCATGCTGCTGATTGCTTACCTCGTCTTAATAGACCCTCCACAGCCATCGCGGACCCTTCACTACTGGCTTGTCGCACATGGGTTCCTCTGGCGATGCTCTTCAATTGGGAGATGCTGATGCCTTACTTACAGAGTGGGTTGAAGCAGACCAGATACGATCGATATTCCTCTTGGCATGAGGGTCTACTCAAATGCAAGGCACTGGAGATGGAAAATACGTCGGGTGGTGGATCGACCAAGAGGAGCAGGAAGGTTTGACGACCACAGCATACTGCAGCCCATCACGAAAGAATGCCAAATTGTAGTTTCAGCCGCATCTCCGTTACATCATTTTTTCATCGCTTTTTCTTCATTGTTGTGTTGCGCATTGTTCTACTACTAGTACTATAACTGTTGTAGTACTACTGTACTAGTAGTAGTAGACTCGGACAGTGTCTGGCAAGTCCATGTACTACTATTCTTGTCTCTCTTACTTCACATGTCTGTGGTATATGCCTTCAATCGCCCGTCGAAGGGGACATCCATCCAACAACAGGAAGATGTGTTCGAAGATCGCAGTTTAGATATTTCCATGCTTCAGTCAAAGCGTCATTTCCAGTCATGAAAACTACACCAACTCTAAATTCTTTAGCCATGGAATGGCTAAAGAATCTAGAGTTGGTGTAGTTTAGCTTTTCATTTATGATGTATAGCCTTTGCTTCACACAATTAAACAAGCTTAATAGTAGGGTGAATCACACTGAATAGTATACATCAATGTACAGCTCTGCAAAACTGAATGTATGAACTACTGGGTGTGCTGGGTGACTGAAATGCTCCTGTATTGTTGAACTACTGAATGACTGAATGTATCTGAACAATCTGGGACATCTGGACAGGATAATGTCTGAACTACTGATCAACTGAATCAACTGAATCAATCTGAATTACCTGAACCACTAAATGTCTGAACTACTTAGTGACTGAGTGAGACTGGGACAACTGAGGGGACTGGATGTCTGGACCACCATCAGAGAACCTGTGAGAAGAAGATATCGTCATATATCGTTATATATCGTAATATATAGGAAAGGTTTTCGTCACATTGGAATATAAAGTGATATAAAGCAATATATGACTATGTAAAAGCACCATAATCAGCATAATCCCCAGCAAGAACTCACCGGTTTACTGATGACTGTGTATCTTATGATCTGATTCACTGAGGGGACTGGATGTCTGGACCACTGTATCTTATTGATCTGATTCACTGAGGGGACTGGATGTCTGGACTACTGTGTATCTTATTGATCTGATTCACTGGAAAGAGTCTGATTTCAGATGTTCAGGTATATAAGTTGTATAAGTTGATCCAGGTTTTTTTGACATTTACTGATGTTGTACATCATCCAATTCTCGCCGTCGGTGGCGAGCTTCAGGATGCGGAGGAAATCTTCTCCGAGTTTTCCGTTCGAGGTTGACATCCTTTGTGAGTCTTTTCTTCGCGCGCTTAATTTGAAATTTTCACTAATGATGCGCAGGGCTCATAACCTGTAGCAGATAGCTCAGCGACGTACGAAGTCAACTAGTCATATTGGTATACCTGTAGCAGATAGCTACATGTGTTGTTAGTTAAGTAGATACTGAATACTAGATGGTACTAACCTCAGCGACGTACGAAGTCAACTGAGGATAGTACGAGGCGCGGGAATGAACGAGAATATATAGGTACGAGGTAAGCTACCGGTACCGAGTGTCCATGACGAAGGTTTGATAATCCAACATGAACATCACTCAAATAAGGATCTACCAACTGATACAAATATAACAAGGCCGGTAATAGTATGCATAAAAACCTCGCTGCATGCTCTGCTATGCTTCGTTACTTGCAAGCCCAACACAAGTCTGTCACGGGTTTGTGGGAATGGCAGCAATTCCACACCTTGTAATGGCTGTTACTGGCTTGTTACAGAATGTTACGTGGTATGCACCATTTTGGTTTGTTTTCTGATGATCTTGTTAATGATGGGAATCTGTTTACGTTCGATAAAGCCCTCCCTCCACGGAAATCCGGATTCCCAGACTTTCTGAGCATTCTCGCACATCTTGTCAGCGATGGGAATCCGTTTGCGTTGCACAAAGCCCTCCCTCCCCTAACGTGGGAGTCGAGGATCACTTGCGCCTTCTTGTTTCACTATCATCATGTCGAACATGTTGCTAGCGTGTCGGCGTGTAACAGACCCGCGTGCTCGACAAACTGTTGCTCTAGCTAGGTATGCCAGTACGAGCACCAAGGAAAAATTCCGAGTGCTTGTTGTCGGAGCAGGTGCATCAATCGATGGAGTTCTCTGAATTAATGTTGATGTATTTTCAGGTTCTGGTGGATTGACGGTTGCCAACCAGATATATAACCGCTTTAAGGCTGCTGGAAAGCCTTTGAATGCAGGAGATGTAGTGGTCCTTGACGCAGCAGACTATCACTACTATCAAGTAAGCACTCAGAATCAGACTGTAACCTACTCGTGTGAGCTATTTTTTGACGGCTCTTCCTTTCAAGCCCGGCTGGTGATGGTTTCTATCCATCGTTCTGTATACGAATCCTGACGTGTCCTCCAGGACTTTGGTCGGTTCTGGTCTTGGCTCTAAAACAGATTTCAGACGACCGCTCGCGTCCCTGTTCCCGCCGCATATCACGCATATCGCAGAGAATGTCAAGTCATTCTATCCGGAATCCTCATCAGTCACGACAACGTCTGGTCGGACAATTTCATATGATTCACTTGTAGTGGCAGCAGGTTTGAAAATAAACTGGGACGGCATCGCTGGCTTGCCGCAGGCTCTCGCTGATCCCTCCTCTGGAGTCTCATCGATATACTCCTATGATACCTGCAGCAAAGTTCAACACGACATAGATGCCCTTCAGTCCGGAAATGCTATATTTACCCAACCTGCAGGTATCATCAAATGTCCAGGAGGTAAGTCAAATTTCTCTATGTATGGCGGCTGCTTATCGTCTTCTAGCTCCGCAGAAAATCATGTGGATGGCCTGGGACAAATACCAAAAATCTGGCCGAGGAAATAACATTAAGATAGACTTTATGAATGGCATGCCATCCATGTTTAGCGTCAAGAAGTATTCGGATGCCCTAAACGCTCTGCGCATCGAGCGGGGTATCGGAGCAGAGTTCCAGCACAACTTGGTTTCTATTGATGTGGCGAACAGGAAAGCAACTTTCAAGAAGGATGACGGTTCGACCGTGGATCGTGATTTCACCCTAATGCATGTCGTGCCGCCGATGGGACCGCTAGACTTCATCAAAGGATCGCCCATTGCTGATTCAGCGGGTTGGGTAGAAGTCGATCAGGCGACTCTCAGACATGTCAAGCCTGAATTTGGAAATATATTTGCCTTGGGTGACTGTTCCTCCCTACCCACGAGCAAAACAATTGCCGCCATTACATCTCAGGCTCCTGTCTTGACGGAAAACTTATTTTCGGTTATGGACACTGGCAAAGTGAGCAGTGCAACGTATGATGGCTATACAAGTTGTCCGGTCCGTCCGCCTCCTTACAACATTATCCACTTGACCAAATTCTAACATTAGCTTCTGACGGGGTATGGGGAATTGATGCTAACCGAGTTCAAGTATGGATTTGTGCCCAAAGAGAGTTTTGCCAATTACCTGGGTGATCAGGCGAAACGGAGAAGGTTTGTCCTTTGTGATTCCTACTTGTATCATTGCATTGAACCTGCCAAATTTCTCAGATTATTCTACCACTTCAAAAAGGTACGCAGTACAATTGGAGCTGTAGCTCCTAAATAAGGCACGCGGCTTATTGTTTGTGCTATTCTTAGGACCTTTTTCCTTGGGTTTACTGGAGTCGCATGGTGAGTCTCCGAAAACAGTCTGCACGGGGCTCTCGGAGCGTCTCATGCTGCGCCGCAGGTTGACGGAAAATGGTTTGGTCCTTCAGGACCCTTCCGTCCCAAGTTTGTATGATGTTGACATTAAGGAGCTATTGAAAGTTTCATGAGTGAATTGAGTAGACGTGGGTCACCCCTTCGTAGTTACAGGCTGTAACCCCTGTTCGTAATACAAAAGATTGGTACTCGATAAATTCCAGCGACGTCATAAGCATCGCCTGGCCATGGAGGTACTCCACCCAGTTACATCCCTATGAGTCAGAACTCGTTGAAGATCCGGTTGGGTTCTGGTGCCTGAATCCACCATGTGCACATATGATTCACGGGCAGAGGCAGAGATCACGACCTAAACAGGTATGTGTTACGTGTACGGTGCCGGGGACCATTTTATCCGTGAGTGGGTCCACAGCGTTGAGCCTTCTGATCAGCAGTTCCGAGCCGACGCGAACCTCAACCTAGTAGTAGTAATAGTAGTAACTATGATAGTTCAACGTTGGAGCGTGACTGAGCATATGTGTACGTCACGCCGCGTTTAGTGTGACTTGTCACGACAACGGCTTCAACACGCTCCACGATGTCGAGGGCCATGACTGCAGCTCAGGTCATCGGCCTGGGCGAATATCTTAACCCCGAATTTGATCCTGCTACCCTTACAGTAGCTCAACTTCTTGGTGTTCTTGGATATCACAACATCAGGTTTCCGACGCCTTACACCAAACCAAAATTGGTGCAGCATTTCCTCGATGAAATCAAGCCAAAGGCAGCGAAATTCAAGAAGGACAGATTGAAGAAGGAAAACAGTGCTGCTAGCGATGATGGAATAACTGATGGCATAACAGGAAAACCCCTCAGTGGTGCCACAAAGGTGCGTTCTTGGTACAACTGCTGTGCTTCTTCTCCTGTTAATGAAAAGCAGCCAAGGCGATCTTCCAGGAGAGTTTCTCATGCACCGTCCGATGATGAGGAACCGCCGGCTCGCCCAGATCCGGTATGGACGTCATTTCCTATGCTGTACCTATGTTAATCTTGCGTTTACCAGCCGAAGCGCCGTCGTTCGTCTGCACAACCCAGCCTTGGTGGCGTACATAGAACTATTGCTCGCGCCGCTGTGCAGCCCGCAGTCATCGAAGAAAGTGAACCTGAAGAAGACTCGCCCTTGCGCAAGGTAGGCAGGAACAAGAAGAGTGTGAGTGGGCGCTATGCTTGACCGCAAGGTGCACTAACCATTCATGTAGTCGCAAGCTGCTGGTTTGCAAGCGCGCAGAATCTCGGTAATTCAGGGAGTGTTGTTGTTCGGTATTTGTCTGACCCTGTTTCAAGCTTGCAGATGACAGCGGATGGGAGGACAATAACATTTTCCAATCGGGTGCTGAATCATCTTCACCTGTGCGCCCGTCACCTGTGCGTCCTCGGAAAAGTGGTTCTGTCAAGAAGTCACGCCACTCGATGTCAGCACCTCCTCAAGCATCTTCTTTGTCTCCTCCAAAAGCACCTCTTTTCTCAGTTGATACACCGCGTTCTCCTCCGCAGTCAAAGTTTGAACCTGAACTCCCTCCTACAATTTCGCGAGCACCCCGAATTTCAACTCCGTCGGAGACAGTTGGTTTCAATCCTATCGAACACCGGTCTAGGCCGCCTCATGAATCACCAACCAAGGTCGGCAGCCATGGCCTGGATTTTGATGACGCCACAGATGCGGTTGATGGACAGACTCCTGATGAAAGCCAGAGCGACGGTTTTGGGGCAGCTGATTCGCTAGAGGTTGCCGTATCCAATGGTATAGGTGGTGGTGACCAATTGGTTCGCCGGCGTCCAGCCCCCCCGCTGCCGCGCTCTAGGTCTCGTCTCATGACACTTGTCTACCTGATCGTGATAGTTGCCGGATTCTATTTTGTGAAGCAGTACAAAGACGAATCATCTGGGATTGGTTACTGCGATACTGGCAGCAACACCAATCAGGCTCTACGGGACCTCGAAAGGCAGTGGGAGGCGATCCAGGCTCGTAACAAAGACAATAAGACGATTCTGTATCTGCCATCGATCGTATCGGATACTGGGTTGTTCGAGGATGGAATTCCAAGTCCATTTCCATTATTTGTTCCAGCCTTGCATCCGTCAGCATGTGCTCCTTGTCCAGAATTTGCGACTTGCACGCAACACTCAGTCAAGTGTAACCCTAGTTATGTATCGGGTCCGCACCCTGTTCTTGGCATGTTGTTACCTTTCGGCACCGGATCCCCTGTTGTGGAAAGGATATGGAGCTTGATTGGTGACGTTACGAATGGGCTACCTGGATTTGGACCTGTTGGGTTTCCCCCACGTTGCAGTGAAGATCCGAAACGGAAACGGAATATAGGCGCCTTGGGTAAAGCGATAGAAGGTCTTCTCGGACAGGAACGAGGAAGGCGCGTGTGTATCGGGGAAAAAGACAGTCGGGAGATGGTCAAAGATAGTGAAGGGGGGGAAGCGATGAAATGGGGGCTTGAAATTGAGATGCTGAGGGATACAATGAAACGGAAAACAGCTGTGAGTTTGAGCAAGTATTTCCTGATATGAGGCTGATTGATGGACCGGTAGCCGCAACTTCTGGCCAATTTTGATGACACGTTCAATGAAGCCATACAACAGTTAGTTCAATGGGGTTCCGTAATTTTTGGGGAGGATAACACGTGAGTAGGGAATTATTGCTTGTGATATTAAATAACTAAATGAGAGTAGAGGTCATCGTTATTTAGCTCATAAGACGCCACACTTGACTTGGAACTGTCAACTTACTGTCAAGTCTCGGGAGCTTTGGGATAAATGGCGAGCGTCTGTTTATGGTAAGACTAATTTGATATTCAGAAGCTTCTTGACACTTTGTTTAGGATCTATATCGTGTCTGTGCGCGCTGTATTTCATAAAACGGTCCCGGGCGCTCCGCCGAACGGAGGCAAAGCGTGTGGCAGAATTGGTGCAAATCGCACTTGATACTTTGCGTAATCAAGAATTAGCACACCACACGGATCCAGTGACGGCACCGCACCCGTATTTGTCCTCTCTTCAGCTTCGTGATCTCATATTACAGGATGAACATTCAATATCAATAAGAAGAAGGCTATGGGATCAAGTGGAGCGTGTGGTAGAAGGGAACGCCAATGTGAGGGCAAACCTTGAAGAAGTGCGAGGTGGTGACGAACTACGCGTATGGCGATGGGTGGGATCTACCAGTGCACCAGATTTTCGGAAGGTTCAATTTCAGCCGGAAGTGTAATGTCACCCTAGTTCGTTGATCGATTTATTGTCTGTTTGCTTCTTATGTTTCTCTCTGCAATATAACGTCTTTATCCCCTCAGTATGCATATTGTACTCTGACCAATCGGAGCCTTTTCCATCAGAATACCGGTGTCAAGAAGGCGCTGCGCCCGCATGTGCCACCTCGCCAGGCACAAACACCTCACAACACCATTTTCTTGACCTCGGAAAAACAAAAGGTCTCGAACGATACCAAAAAGGAAAATACATTATCGAGCAAACTTCTAGGACCCTGATTAAATAATACTCCAATTAACTGTAGGATGCCGTTGGAATCCCATGCTGGATCTTTTCTATCAGTGCCCTCTTTGTAAACTGTTCTTCTGCGAGTACACGCGTACTCTTGAGATAGAAGGACCGCCATCAGTAGCAAGTGACTGTGTGATATGAAACCTTGAAAACTCACCCTCAAAAAACGTTCTAGATCAATACGTCCGGTGTTCAGAGCCCTATGGAGATGATAGATGCTATCTTCTATAGCATTATCTTCAGCGACCAAGTTGATGAGCCTGTTTAGAAAAGTCGAATTCACACCGGTCAGCATCACCCGGTGATATCGTCGAACAAGAAACTGTTCCATACTGGTTATGTACTATGCTTGTGGAACAGATCAATTCATCGACTTCTGGATCTCCCTTCCTTCGCAATTCAGCGATGTTACGCTCCCCTTGATCGACAGTATTCCGCAGTCTGCTAGAAACATTATTACAAACATCTCGCACGGCTTCTAGTCGCGCCATCTCATCCCGGATTGCGGGTTCTCCGGTAAGAAGGTCGGTTTGCTGCGCTCGCAGACGTTCACCGTCCAGAAGCATGACATGAGAGAGAGAAGCAAGCTCCGACGCGATCTTGTCGTGTACTTGCGCATGCAGGCGGAGCAACTCTGGGTTCGGTGGTCGTGGCGGTGCTACCGTGGGAACCTGTAGCACAGAAGGTGACGAATCGGCAGTTTCATCATCTAGGAGGTTGGCAGTCGGCCTCTGCCGCAAGTTGGGTGCCCCCTGTAAATGCTGTGAAGGAACTGGAGGTGATGGCGTGTTTGGGGCGCGTGATTGATTCAATTGACCGGATATAGCTTGGCCAGCGAGTGGTACGGACCAGCGGTTGTCATGATCCGGTGGCAGAGCGGGACCTGCTACAGGTACAGTGCCGTCATTATGGTTTCTGAGCGTGTGCTGATAGGAAGGGCGGCTGTAAGTTGGAGGTCCTGTGATTTGGGGTGATTGAGCAGAGGGTAGAGCCGGTGGTGGCCGATTGAGCAAATTCGCCTATGAACATCCATTTCATTAATGACGCTGTTGAATAACAGGGTTCTTACAGTAGAAGAGTATTGAGGAGAAGCAATGGGAGCTGCGACTATCGCAGGCTTCGGTGACAATAGTGAATGTGCTGATGAATTAGGTTTTGGTGGAAGCGCCGGTCGATCATTGCCTAGGGCAACGCGGGAAGGTGATGAGGCACTAGATTCCTGTAAAGGTGACGGCGACGATGGTGGGATTGGAACTGTAATTGTTTTTGGTTTGGCGTAGACTGGCGGACCACGGGAGAACTCTTGTTGCAATGCTTCGAGTAAAGCTGATAGATTACATGCCTTGCTCGGGGATGAATTTGTTCTGATCGGTGGTTATTTCGGTAAGTGAACTTACCTCGCTCTTTTTTTCCCAGTGTTGGATATATTCAATTTTACATTGGCCACTCACATCAACGTGCTTACTCGGTCTAACGAGCATGTCCTGTGTTGGAACAACATACACTATTGGGGGCTGGCGGGGATACTCTTTTGTGACCCAAACAGCGATGGGGATATTATATGAAGCGCCTCGAAAGGATATTGGTAAGACGCCATGCAGACATAGTAGAAGTTGAGTTCGACCATCATCATAAGCTAGAGTTTTCAAAGATCAACTGGTGGGATTTGAACATGGAATCTAATAGTCACTGAACTGTAGACATCTGACTTTGGACGTAGAGATGTGAAACGGTCGAGAGCAGTATCAAAGTCAAGAAGGACACGATCCTTGTGAGTATATGAGCTGACGTTTTGTCGTAGCCATCTCTGTGTCGTAGTACTCATTGGGTGTAAGGCAGTGGCTGTGTTGTGACATCGGTTTGATCGGAGTCTATAATTGATTCTCCGCTTTAAACGGACCGAGATGCGCCTTGACGACAAACCCACCCAGACCCAGATCCCCCCAAAAATTTGGATATAGGTTAGCGCTCTGGCCAGCTTCGTCTGACTCCACTAGGATGGCCGTGAATTTCTATTTTTGTAATAAAAGAACCTTAATTGTTAGTATGAATGACCTTCGAAAACGGGTCTATTTTCTCACCACTAGTTCCTCGATCCGTTATCTAAACCAGGGCCATTTCAATAAGATGTTATCCGAATTAGCGGTTCCCTCATGCCACTTCCGGATCTTTAGCCTTGGTCGTCAAAATCTCTCAACGCTATGCTGATTTCGTTCTCATTTGGATTCAGAAACCCTGCCGAAACCGGGTCTCAGATATATATAAAGGTTCCTTTAAGCCCTCCTCTTATCACTACTCCCCCCTAGTACGCAGTGCCACTGCCCGAAGTCATGCGCACTTCAAGACTATCAGTCTCCCGTGAACGCGATGGAACGACCCTCACTCCTCAGAGAAAACACCGTAAATTACTCAAGGATGGCTCCAGTGAAGTCTGGCCAGAAGAGATTGAGAGAATATTCGTTCAAGGTTAGTCATCTACCATCATCTCTTCCTCTCACTGTCTCACCCCCCACTCAGGTCTTCGAGAATACTGGGAATCACCTTGGGCAACTTACTCTCGTGGCAGAAGTCGTTGGAGAAACCAGTTCTTGGTCGAGTACCTGCAGCGCGCTGGAATAGACCGTTCCAAGAAGCAAGTCGCAAGCCACATACAGGTACTTCGTAATATGTGGAAAGGCGAACATGGTAAGAAAACTTCATCGAGCGTCTATTGATTCCTTCTTAACCTGTCGTCTAGAATACCACTTGGTGGCTGGTGGTGAGGAATTACTCCTGGATACCGGTCTCCCTACGTCGGTCAAAGCAGAGGAGTCACCCGACTCCCATATGATGGCATCCATGTTCCTCGATGATCACTCCCCAGCATCAGACCGTCCCGGTCGTCCGGTGTCTCGTACGTCCCGCCATAATCTCCCTCGTGCAAGTCCCGCCATAATGGGTTCAAAGACCGAACCCATAATGCCGCCATATCCGAATCCCCGGATACCAACGGCCGACGACGGATGCCGTCGCGTACGGTCAATGTCCACTTCTGCTAGCGCTGACCAACGGCGACTTTCGCCATTGGCATCTTCCCTCTCCCCTGATATATCGGTCCGGCCAACAGCATCGCAATCGTGCCCACATGTACCACGTACTGCCACACGTGCGGACTTCGACTTTAACCGTGGCTATGAACGGCAAAATCAATCCGTGCTCACCGCTGACCAAATGTCGCCGGACCTCCTTCTTTCGAATTCTCCCCGGGTTCAGAACTCATCAACGCTGTTCTCATGCACACTTCGTCCTTCATTATTGACAGGATTGTCGCTTTGGGCAGAGGGAATGCATCCCGCCACGGTGTCGGTGGATGCTCTTTCCTCGCAAACACAGCCAACGGACTTGAACGCTTCGGTTGTGGCACTACGTGTCAAGCTCCGCCTCCCTCCAATAGAGGCTCCATACTCCCCGGCCCTCCACGGCTTTCAAGGATCAATTACATGCGACGCTCCACGTACCTCCAGTATTAGGTGCTCCACAGCTGTTTTCGTCCGAAACCAGTGTGTCTCTCGGGAAAGCAGTTATTGTTCCGTAATAGCTGCGGATGCTACCGGACCTGAAATACTGGATCACATCACCCTACTCTTGCCCGATTCCCAGCTCAGTCGAAGTCGGTGGATAGATCCTGGTGAGTACTTGCGTTCAGACACGCTGCCTCGTGTTAACAACGCGACAACAGATATGCAAACATGCATCATACAGAAAATTGTGGTTGATGAACAAGTCATAGCAGCCATTTACTACGATCTCGACAGAAGGCAGTGTGAAAATTTGCCGTCTGTGGAGCTCATTGGATTCCAAAAATACACCGGCCACGCGGACACCACTCTAGTGCCAAATACCAGTGGCGCCTTCGTACCAAACTACACTTATGCACCTGGACACAGCATACCTCGTACCATCCATGCCACTCCAACGTCTTTGTCTCATGCACTCATTCCTCCTAGCACGGATTCTTCCCGAGCTATTCCTTTTCATGAATCGCCTTACATGATGCCTTCATGAGCTTAATGAACCCAATATTTATTATCACCGCACGCTTTTCGTTCGAACTTTTTGTTGTATCAAACTTGCGGCGGAAGCCATTCATGGACCATGTTAATTTGGACGAACGGTCAGCTCTTAATCTGCTTTGGTTAAATTTAAACATGTATCTTCCATCATTTGTTGCATGCTATTGTAGATACCGTGTACGACTTACTGCGCACCATAATATGTATGAAATTTTACGTGTTGTTACGATCTTGTATAATTGGACAAACTGCGGGCGGCATCTCGCACTCGACTATCGTAATGGTGCTGTTGCAGCAGGGACAGTTCCCAGAAACACGTCCCAAACGGATGGCACAACTGAGGGTCGTCCACTTCAGGGCGGTATACACCATCAACTCGCCTATCTTCAGTCGACAATAACGCTTCGAGTTTCGGATCCTTGGCGACCAAACTTTCCACAAATTCTAGAGCACGGAGGGCGGCGCTCGGGGGCCAGTTGAGTGACGCAATCAACAAGCGTTTACTAAACGCTGCCGATCTCCAATGGATTGCCGTATTTCCCGAACTTCGCGGAGAAAATACGATATTCAGGGCTCGGAAGAGCATGTCAGCGGTTGATGGAGGTTTTGAGTTGCCGAAGTTTGAGACGAACGCACTCGGCGGAGGCGCGTCGACTTGCATCGATACGCTGACCGGCAGTATGATAGCATACAAATGATTGATGAAGTCGGTAAGGTCGATATTGAGCGCTTCACCTGAAATACGGCATTGAGAACGTTGGGGTAATTGTTTGCAATGGATAACGACGAACCTTGTCCTGAGAGGAGCTCAAACGCGGTTACGATACACAGTAAGCGGTGCTGAATGTCGGTAGTGGCGTCAACACGAAATGACTCTGAGTCAGCGCTGGGGTCCTCCTCCGGGGCATCGCGGAGAATAAGATCCTTCAAGACCTGCATCAGATCTTTGAAGAAGTCGATATTGATAAGATGAGCAAATTTGGAAATGCCTCGCAAGGCCGCCGGCAGAAGGGATGTTGGGCGGGGATGCTTGAGTATCCGAAAATACAAAACGAATAGAAGTTTCAGGGTCTCAGTGTGCTACACCGGAACCGTTAGTCGAGTTTTTATATCGATGGGTTACGAAACTCACTGTATTTGCTCGTTCCTCTTTGTCAACTTCTGCTTCTGCGTCCCGCATTTCCCGTTCGATTTCCTTCCGTTCTTTTAGGACCTTTTGCGCCTTCTTACTAAGATGGGGTTGTTCGGTCGATTTGCCTTTAGCTCGTCGGGCCGCAGCCTTGCCTTTCGACTGCATGTGTTTGTCTACCTTGGAGTCTGACGCGCGGATATTGAGTTCTGTCTTGAGGCGAAGATGCAGAAGACACGTAAGTACTTCAGGGTGTACGTTAAAGTGCCTTTCTTTAGTCATACGGTTTAGAAGCTGGACGGCTTCTAAGGAAGGGGCACCTGTTTGATCCTGGCGGAAGATACTGATCAATGTGTTCATACAGAGATCAGAAGCCTGGCATGTCAATCAATTGTCAAGTGGGGCGGATACGGCATGTGTTAGTTTAACTACTTACCTCATCCCACGACTTCTTGCTCAAGCGCGCCACAATGCATGTTATCAAGTTGGTTCTAAAATTGAAGTGGGTGACCTCAGTGGCCAGGGTGCACATACATTTAAGCGCAACCTCTGCTAGTTCGCTTTTGGCTGTATGAAAATCCATCAGTAAGCCACTATCAATAAACCACTATCAGAACACGCGTCACCTTTGAGTTCAGCTTCAAGCGAGCGGAGGTAATTTTGATACACTAGCACAAAACCCTGCTCCCATTCTCGGGTACGGGCTACCATCTGGCTAACTTTTTCGGTCTTTTCTTTTTCGGTCAACGCTCGTATCCGGTAGCCCGGTATTATGTCCTTGAAAACAGCAAACTGTGAAAGTATAGCTAGCTTCCGGATGATGATATGGTTTAGAACCGGTTCTGGGTGAGAAGGAGACGTAATTTTCTCCAGGGAGAAAGTGTGAAGGCGGCGAAGTAACCCTAACTGTCATATATGTCGAGCAGACCAGTTGGCGAGATAGTGAAGTACGCACGCTATTTTCTGGCTCTGCAATTATTTCCTGGCAGATGGTGGCGATCTGGTCTTTAGCACCCTGTATCCGAGCTGTTCGTGATTTGTTTCCAACAACGTCGATGACAGCAGGACGGCCAAAACGTGCACCAGTCGCAACATCATCTATTCTATTTACTTCAACGGGTATTTCTTGCTCCTCCGCGGACTCGTCGGTGGCACTGTCTTCTTCGTCCGACGATGGAGGAGCTGCAATTTTCATGCCTGTTGAATGGATTCGCCCATCCGCTGATTTTATTGGCAGCCCTTGAATGTGGCGGTCTATCTTTGACTCGCGTGATTCTTGAACCTTCCGAGGAACACGTTCATAAGACATCTCGGCGTCGGAATCTAGATCATCTTCACTGGATAAATCTTGTTCGCTGTCATTGACAGAAGACCGGGAAATCGTGCCCGCTTCATCGTCAATACCAGAGCTCCAGGCTTCCTCGTCCTCATCATGAGAGTCAATTGACGGCAAGTCATCGTCCACGTTTGGTCTGCGAGCTGGCTTGTTCAATCGTTTCAGACGCTCAGTCTCCTTCTTGCTCCTACAAAGACATCAGAATTTAAACACCGTATAAGAGATGACATACGTTGATATGCCTTTGCGATCAAGTGTATTTAAGAATCCAGCACCATCTCCAAACTCCTCGAGGAGACCAGCATCCTCTTCGGAGACATCGCCATCTTCGGTATCCGCGTCATCGTGGTTTCCGGGCACCTCGATATAGCCTTTGTCCGCGGCTCGCTCCTTGCCTTTCTTTGATTGTGTTGTACCGGTCCTTGGTTTGCTGTTCGCCTGAAGCTTTCGCTTTTTTGAGGGTGCCTGTCGGAGCTATCAGCTATGATTACATAGTAAAATTTGTACAAAGACGTACTTTAGCAGCGGGAGCCGTTCTCTTTTTACCCTTCAATGCCATGAAGTTCCGCTGGTCTCTGGACGATTTCGGTGAAGCAGTTTGCAAACCTGATCGAAAATATGGTTTACCCAGAAAGGAAAGAGAGACTTGGTTGCGACGCCAATGCGACACTGCCACTGACGCGTTCTGCAGCAGCCTTTCCCGGCGGCAACTTTCTGGCGTGCGGTAGTTTCAAGAACTTGACCACCGACTGATTATTCCTGTCAAGTACCGTGGTACCATCGTGCGATGGACGGTCGAGTTACCCCACCACCCGTTCACCATGTCCTCAGGCCACATCATATTGATCTCATAGCAATGCTATTGTTGATTTTCAAGGAATACGAGCTTCAGAAGACTTTGCCAAAAGACTTTTTGCTCTATATGTATCGAGTTCTCTTGATGGAAACGTCTGAGGTGGGTCTGTAATTTTTCCTGGAGAGCTTACGATCAATAATGTCTTTCTCAGGTCATTGAACATAGGTCCCATCAGCATATGCTGGCGATGGTCAAAGTCGCGCCGAATGCAGACACGCCCGTTGTCCAGGGACTTATAGGCGCTCTGGAGAATGTGGTCGGTTCACAAGTGATACTGCTTTTGGCCCTCTCTCATCGGATATGCGATCATAGGCAACCCAGCTACGAGCGCTTGATCAACTAACTAACTTCTTCCTCAGTACGTCTCTGGGCTTATTTATCTTTCAGTAATGAATAATTCACAGGCACACCATCAATATTCGTTGAAAAAAGTGATGACCAAGTGAGCCAAAGTCATTCCTCGTAGGAGTCGATAGGTAACTGATAGTCTCCAGCCTGCTGTTCTGGTACGCAGTTGCTCACTTCTGTAGCACTATAGCTTAGAAGGTTGGCCATAGCGTCGATCATCCATGTTCGGTTTCTTTGTGCGCAGATGCTTCGTCAGTTTCATCAAGCTATCATTTTATGGCGTCATACAACTTCAAAAAGACTACCAGGCGTGGGTCAATGGATCCAGCCACGCAGGTTATGGGCCAATAGAGAAGGACATGCTGACTTCTGATATCTGGCTATTCAAGACGTCAAGTGACTTGAAATCTTGGGCGCGACCTGAACCATTTGAAGCGTAAGCAGTCGCTTTTCTTTCTAGCAGACTAGAATTATCCATTAATCATTGGACAATAGGTGGGAAAAAGGTCTCGCAACGGGAGATGATATCATAGGTCCCGAGAACTTGCGTAGATATTTTGAACAGCATTTTCATGAACACAATGATTCGTGCGTTGTGTTTGCCCAGCTTTCTGCGCCCTACCTCACCGAGCATCTTGCAGGGGTGTTCGACAACATGCGTTACTGAATCTAGTACGCATGCACTATACTCGAAAGGAATATCCTGCCGCCAGCAAGGTATCCTTGATATCATTTCTTCTCCTTCACAGCTCTCAGTGTCCACATACAGTTACTTCGTGAAGCAATTGCAGTCGCTAGAACAAGCGGAGATCGTATAACACTCCAGCATTGTATCAGGTAATTTATCTCCTCTTTTAACTGTGGAATGTTTGATTTCCGATATAGCATGCTTCATCGCTTGCCATCCCTGAACGAAACTCCAGTCTTAAACGAGATTCAGCCTGACCTGCATCCGTTGGAGGTGTTGTTTGACGTGACAAAACTACTTGATCCGCAATACGTGAGTGATAGCTCATGACATTGCATGATTCTATCTCTGATGCCTCGCATAGGGACAGCCGCTGACCTTGTGCTTTGAGAAATTGACCGAGGCTATTGCCCTACACAATCACTGGGTAGACACCAAGCAAGCAATGCCTCGTGATGCAGATATATGCAGTCACAATGCAATGCAAGCTGTACTATGGCAAACGTTAGGTGAGGTTATCTAGAGCTAGTATGACCGCAAAACTGACTTTACAGGATGTTACGACCTTGCCGATGTCGAGGAATCGTTCGTGTTGTCAATAACGAGGGCTGAAAGAGACGACCCAAACCGTCTGAATACGCTCATCAATCGCTCCTATAGGGTATGTCTCCGATTGAGAACTATTGGATAAGGTGCTGATCAGTTCTCTTGAAGCGCGCCAGAAATGGATTATACTCGGAGGCTTTGGCACTGCTACTGCATCCGGAGACGTGGCGTGGCCTTTCATTAGACGCATACCACCAGTGGGCGGACGCCGTCTGGCATATACTAGCCCTGAGGACAAGTCGTCGGTACGTTATGCTCCTCTCATACTTTATTTGCCCATTTGACAGTGATCAATGGCAGTGGACAACGACGTTTCTTTGATGACTTCCTCTTACCCCGAAGGCCTTCGTCATCAACCTTCGTCTCGAGGGAATATTTCTTTGATGAAAGCTCGACGTCACTTCCTGCCCTAAACATGGAGTTACATGAAGTGATGAATGCTCGAGTGAGTTGGTTTTTCACATTCTTAGGCTCTTGCTGATTGATTACTAGCGACGCGGACAAGCAGTGGCTGCGATTCAACCGCTTCTGCAAGCTCTTTGGCAAGCAGAATTTCAGGGCAGATTTCCGTTGTATAGATTAGGCATGACACTCCTCGCCGATGTTGGCTTGGAATTCGGGATGTCAGAACATTGTCAACAGTTGATTCTAGGGATTATGCCACAAGTGGGTCCTGTCTCACCGTGAATCATGGGAAGTACTGAGAGATCCTTGACAACAGATATTGTCCGGACAGGAAATGGAGCACCGAGCTTTTGCAAACCACACCCTTGCAAGGTGCATGATTGCATCCACGGATTCATCAAGTATGACATTTTCAAGCGCGTTCGTGCCTGGTACTTACATCCTCGTAGAGGCAGGCCTTCGAAATGCACTGCCATGTTTACTTATGGCAGAAGCTGACTATATGTCTATGTCTATGCTAGAAGCTACTTCAGAAGTGCAGCAGCTACTCGTGGTTGTCTATCATAATCTTGGTATGACAGCTGAAGAGGAGGGAGCTTTTGAACGGTATATGCAGTCTACAAAGTTGGCTCAAGCTTTCGAAGAAAATCCTGCTGATCCGGAGGCAACAAGGGTATGGGATACAGTTACAGAGATCGGGAAATCATTGGCCTCTAGATAGACTGATACATCAATTATCATCATATGCGCGTTTTTGTCACGTACATGTGAATTGTCACGCCACCTGTCACATTTTGTGACCCAATGGAGCGCGTTTCGGCAGTGGTTTAACCAACATTATTATTACTCTCCCCTCGTCAACTTTCACATGGACGGGCCTCCACCTCAGGAGGAAGATTTTTCTTCCCTTCCAATATCAGAGAGGCTTAATCACAAAAACTGGAAAGCCCGTGTAAGCGGATACGAATCATTGATCAAGACTTTCCAAACCACCGCATCCGACACCGACCCCGCATTTAAGCCCTACATCAACAGTCCTGATCTTCTTAAGAAGATCGCCACAGATTCCAATGCCGTGGCACAAGAGAAAGGCGTAGAGTGTCTTGTGGCACTAGTCAAGTTTGCTGGAGAGTCTACCGCAAAGACCAGGGAGGCTGTCGTGCCGGCCTTAGTTGACAAGTGTCTTGGGTCTGCGAGGGCCGGTACAAAGAACCAAGCAATAGAACTTATTCTTCAATACGTGGAAGTTGAGAATTCCGCCGCTGGTGTTGTAGTACGTGCAATGTCCGCCTTCTCTTGATACCGTTTTAACAGATATCTCATTCATTCAGGCGGATATAATACCCGGTCTTTCTGCAAAACAACCAAAGGCTGTCACTGGATGTGTGTTTGCTTTGAAAGAAGTCGTTCGGTAAGCTGTCTGCATCTCCGTCCTACACTCTGGACCTCTGTTTCCGAGCGATCTGACTGCTATTTCTGTGCAGGACTTTCGGAACTCAAGTGACTCCTCCGGCCCCCGTGTTAAAATCATTGCCAAAGATATTTGCGCATGCCGACAAGAATGTCCGTGCAGAAGGCACGCAACTCGCTCATACATTATATCAGTACATCGGTCCAGCGATCGACCCTTGGTTATCGGACCTTAAGCCAGTGCAGGTCAAAGAATTACAGGAGGCATTTGAGGGGATGGAAAGTGCAGGGAAGGGTAAAGGAACTTTGAAGTCCGAAAGGCTCACGCGAGAGCACCAGCGCGAGGCAGAGATGGCAGGTGATGCGGCTGATGATGGTGAAGTTGAAGCAGGCGGACAACCAGAAGGTCAGAATATCGTCAATAATTATAGATGATGCGACGTTCATATCTCACTTTCCAGAACTGGATTTTCCAGATCCTCGCACTCTGGTAGAACCAGTTAACATTGTTGCAAAGCTCCCCTCCAACCTCCAAGCTAACCTCACGTCTTCAAAATGGAAAGAAAGAAAGGAAGTATTGGACGAGCTGCTCACACTTGTAAATGCCACCCCTCGCATCCAGGATGCCCCTGAGCTGGCAGAACTAGCGAAGTCACTTGCTGCATGCATCTCGAAAGATGCAAACATTAATTGTGTCATGACTGCCGCTCACGTTATAGAGGGCCTTGCAAAGGGCGTGATGTCTCCGTTCGGCAGGCTCAGGGAGACGATCATTCCTTTGATGCTAGAGCGCTTGAAAGAACGGAAAGCAAATGTTACGGATGCAATCGGAGCTGCACTAGATGCTGTTTTCGCAACGGTATGTGGTTTTGAATAGATTCCCCATATTTGGTTGATGAGTTCTGCAGACGACCTTACCAGATATGATACCTGATCTGATACCAGCTCTGGGAAATAAGAACCCACAAATAAAAGAAGGGACTCTCAAGTTTCTCGCTCGCTCGCTATCGACTTCAACGACGCCGGTGCAAACTGGCCAGATAAAGACGCTAACTGATCCGCTCGCTGTTTTGCTCGAGGACGGTTTTGAGGGCGCACGCAACGAAGCTGCTGCCTGCTTAGGTACCCTCATGAAGATGGTTGGCGAGCGCCCGCTTAATGCTCTGATGGATGGGCTCGCCGATATTCGCAAGGCGAAGGTGAAAGAAGCATACGAGAAAGCTGTGGTAAAATGTAAAGCTGGCGCTCCAAAGGCTCCCGCTGCTGCGAAAGAACCTCCAAAGAAAAAAGTCCTGCCTTCCAAGAAAGCAGAAGTCACTGCTCCCCCTAAAGCGGAGGCGACCGATGCACTAATGATAGACGAAGAACCTCCAAAGAAGCCGGTTGGGAAACCGCCTGCCAGGCTTATGGTTCGTATTTTCTTGACCCTGAGGATATTACTAACATTTGACCATTACATCAGAAGAAAGCCCCGCCGACTTCTGAGGCACCGGAAGCAAGTTCCTCAACTGGAGGTCCTCCGGTCAAGGCTGTTCCTGCTGTCAAGAAGCTTGCTCCCACCGCTGCTGCGAAACCCTCGAAGTCTGCCGCTCCCGCTGCGCCTGGTACTCTTGACGGTTTCAAATATAAACATACTCCTGAGGATGCTGAGGGTCTTGCGGCCGAGTTAATACCAGCAGCTATCATGGAAGGTTTGGGAGATGCCAATTGGAAAGCCAGGCTTGCTGCATGCGAAGAAATGCAGACTTGGATAGAAGGTGTTGTTGAAGATGTTGATGCCGAGGTCGTTATCCGAGCTATAGCGAAGAAAGGATGGTCCGAAAAGAATTTCCAGGTTCGTCGATCTGGCCTCAGAAATAGGTTCACATCATGTGATCATTTTTTAGGTATCAGCAAAACTG